CGTAGGCGTAGGTACCCATAGCTACTTAATATTTGAAAACTAAAAAAAAACACTATTAGATATATGACAATAAAAAGCAACGAAATGTTATAGTTTACCTGATGTAATCTAGGAAAATCCTACTGTAGTTAACAGAACAACCTATTTCAGACACTAAAAAGTAAAAAATAAAAAAAACTACCTAACTATTTAAAAAAACCGACTTCAAAAACTAAAAAGTATAAAATAACTTAATAAAGATGAAATTTAATACACCTCTTATGCAAACCTTTAATATTAATAAAATACTATTGTTTGTATGTGCTACCTATTGATAGGTTTGAAGTCGGTGCCAAGCCCTAAACAAAATAAAACTTAATATTATAAACAACTTACTAACTGTTATGAAATTGCCACACATTAAAGATTAACCTACGTAAATAAACCTAAAGAACAATGTGAATTAATGTGAAACAGATGAAAACTTTATTATAAAAATATATAGTATTAATACCTGGATGAGTAACTATAGCTATATTAAACCTATAGTATTCGTATATATGAATATTTTTGTGGCCCTGAAAAGGACCTTTTTGTTTGCGTATTGTGTGACGAGCACACAACACGTTAAGTAATAATTAATACCTACAATTATGAAAACAACTTGTATAGAGCTTCGTGCAAGAGATAAATTATACAAATCTATCAATTAGGTAACAACGCATCAAAATTTTACTGTATTTCGAGACGACCGTCAACGACGTCTGCCCGCTTGGGTTGTTTTGTTCTAGACGAAGCTATCCTGCTCAAAGTCACGCGCGACGAGTGTAGGTACCTTCTATTACATTTGGCTTGGCACCGAGTTGAAACCTATCAATAGGTAGCACATACAAACAATAGTATTTTATTAATATGAAAGGTTTGCATAAGAGGTTTATTAAATTTAATCTTTATTAAGTTATTTTATACTTTTTAGTTTTTGAAGTCGGTTTTTTTAAACGTAGTTTTTTTTATTTTGTTGAATATAAATCATTGCGGACATTATGGCTCACACGATAATTATCTAGTAAATGTGTGATAAAGCGCTTAAACCATGATACACTGTAACAGATTTCTTTATTCTAAAATCGTCTCTATTCCAGAACTTACTGAATTCATAGAAATACTCAGGCACTAGAAATTTGGACCAGGGGCAGAGGATACATGTGTTGTGTTACTCGAACCTACAAACTAAAATAAAACGTCCTGTTAATAAACTCTTAATTAATTTTAATTGATTTTTACTAACCAATATCCTAAGAAACTTCATAATCACACTTACTTGTACGGTTTAAATTACTTGTAATTAAAATAAAAATACTTACTTGACATGTGTAATTAAACTGCATCTAAAAAAACTTTTAGTTGTTATTTATAATACACAAGTGTTAATTTTTATGCATATAGTTCTATTGACGTTCAGTTTCGTAGTCACTCAAGAAGGCAAAGTTTGGCATGTAAATCAAATGCTTTAAAAAAAGGATTCTGAAATTTGTATTCCAAATACATTAAAGCGTGTCGGTATTTTGCTTAGCTACTGGTTATTCTAAATAATGACACCACTAGAAAATGCCAATGTTTGTGAAATGTTTGCCTTTAACATAATATTTTAAGTTTACCTATATCATAAGCACAACCAATAATTTCGCTCGCTGTTTTAAATTTTAACTCTTTTAACATTAGTTATACACTAGCAATAAGCCGAATGGATATTGTATTGTAGGATCTGTATAGAATTATAAGGCAGCAGATCATGAAAATAATTTTAAATAATGTCCGTTTTCAATTTATAAACTGTGTCTATCAATAACAAAATCTGGTTTTAAATATTTCTCTCTAAGTCCATTGCAAATGTCGTTTTTAATTTCAATTTGCCTATTTTGTTAAGGTGTGTCCGTTAATTGGCAGTAAATCATCGCCTACTCGTCTCACATAGTCAGATTATCATTAATCTAATTTCTATTATTGTATAGATGAAGAAACAAAAGCCAATCAGTCTGTAAACTTGATTATTTTATCTGGTTTTATTCATTTTATTAATTGTTGCCTTTTTTAGTGTAAAGATAAATGGACAGTATATTTGCATCAATTAATTAACTAGAACTATTTTTTACAGAGTAGGTAAATCGCTGACTTTAATAATTCTACAATGTGCATTTTTTTCTGAAGCGTCCACTTTAAGGTTTCGTACCTCAAAAGATAAAAAAAACAGCACCCTTATAAGATCACTTTGTTGTCCGTCTTTTTGTCTGTCCGTTGTCTGAAATTATAACCATACACTCAGATCTACGGTCCCTTGAAAATGTGAAAAAAAAAACAAACTTCTAAAATCTAGACATGAAAATGATACGGCGTTTATGCCGCAAAAACGCTATTTCGACACTCTCAAGGGAATCAAAATTTAAAGAGTACTTCCCGTTGCCCTAGAACCATGAAATTTGGCAAGTAACATCGTCTTTTACTCCAAGTACAGGGGAGAATGTGTAAATTATGAAAAATGCCTTTATTTAAAGTACGTAATCAATTGAGATGTTTGGAGGCTCGGTTAAATAAAAATAACTGTTCTCGGTAGCTTCCACAACATTTTACTTACATACACTACACAATCACCAAGGTACAATTTAACTTATATAATGAAATTATAAAAGTAATTGTAGGTTTTAGAAACTGATTTTAGGGAAAAACTCGAAAAAAAAAGACTCGAATCCTGAACTATTTATAATATGTACCTACGAATTTGTACGCCCACGGTGGCCGAGGCCGAGTCGCACTTATCGCACGTTTTTCTTCAAGTTATATCATCAATCAATATTCCATGTCACCTTTTTAATTGTTATGTGTACCAGAGTACAACAGTTTTTCACAAAGTTAACAATCACAATACCAGGTACTTTAGGGTCCTCAATGCAAAAAAATATGTTTAAGGCCTGTAATTCAGGTATCGAGGGTTTTAATTATATTTGGTACCTAAATGTTATTTTTATATACATTTTTCTACGTATATTTTGATGTGCCTTTTTAAAATTTAGAAAAATCCAATAATATTTATTCAAGAGAAAGCCTGCATTCCGCGATTAAAACAAGCTACACTTATTTCGAAGCTTACTTCAAATATAGTCTACATTAATAAAATAAAGTAATTAGAAACCAGCTTTGCATTACTAGTGTAAGCCATTTGATCTTGTCTAATAATAGAAATATAACATTGCTGACGTACGTTGCTGAAGTAATGTGTCCCAAACATGGTATTGATCATCATCATCAACAGCCTTTAGTGGACTATCCACTGCTGGACCAAGTCTTCTCCTTAGAATGGAAGTTTTGTCTTACTCTACCACGCTGGTCTGACGGGTTGGTATAAGTTTTGTTTCAAGTTTTCCTCCTTTCTTTGAAGCGAGCTGTTGTCCTGCGAAGTTTGCCCCCTAAGTCGGCTCTCACGACACTCATGAATAGGGGTGGTGACACTCCGATCCTTATTCCATAAGCACACGTAATATAGGCTTGGTTCTTTAGTGGCCAGCCGCCTGATGCTCCTCCCGCCTAATGCTCCTCCTCTCCACTCAACTCCTTTTTTTTCTGTGCGGAACTCCCCTCGGATACCACCCACCACTGGGTGATTATGTCGGACTCGAACCGACCAAAAACCGCACGCCGTCTCCAGGTACCAGTAGCCGGGGAACCAGGTATACCCTAGGAAGGAAAGCCCTAGTACCCCGACGTCCCTCGGGTCATCTACGGCTTATAGATGACCCCTCCTGAATGGGAACCCGGATGTTCCCTTCCTGCCCCGAAGGGCGCGCGCGCTCCGTAGCGCGTCGCGCCATTACCCCGGCCTGCTTCTGCTAGAGTGACAGATGGCCTCACCTGTCACCCTCAGGCCTGCGCTTACTCCTTGGGAATGTAATAGTTTTTTGTAAGGACGAACGTAATTTGAGTAAGGAAAACGAACAGGGCGATAAGATAAGAAATATAATTATACCACCAGTATTGGTTGAGATACAGGGCTATATCGACGGTTGTCAGACACGTCAAAGGAATGAAAATATATTGGGAAATAATTACTATTCTTTATATTACATTTAAATCTTCTTCAGAGTCTTTTTCAAAACCAGGTTGGGTCGGCTTTAAATCTACTACGATACCGCTGAACTTTGATTTTTTACGCGGTGCGACTCATCATCATCATCATCAACAGCCTTTAATAGTCCACTGCTGGACATAAGCCTCTCCTTAGAAAGGACGACTGCCATTGCAAAATCTGACTACTAGGCGATACAGAAGTTCTGTGAAAAGACTATTGTTAATTTAAGTACTTACCTTAATTAAAGTACTTTTAAGTAGGTATTTAAAAATATATACACACAAGATATGATTGATACAAAGAACACGTTACATGTAGTGTTTTCCTATAATTGGTTGTGCAGTAAGATTTAAGACACAAATACTTGTATGTTCATATATGTATAATATTTATAACAGTTGTTGGTGAATCTTAATTAAATTACGTAAAAAAATAAAAATGGCGTACACGAATTACTATCCGGATTAAATGGCCATTTATCTATACCTGATACGTAGGTATGTGTGTATTTACAAAAATATAAATGTATCTAACTGTGTTTATCCATCGGCTACAATCAATAACTATACGGCCATACGCAGTCTGTTAACATGCATATTGCTATATCTAAGTACATTATCTATATTTCCATCAAAATCATGAATAAAAATAATCTCTCTATCATTTACAACAGTAATTTTTGTTTCACTTCAAATTATGTACTAAAACGTAGATATCAGATACTATAATCCTTTGTACTCATACGAAATAGAAAAAAAATATGACACAAAGTACTGATAACAGCCGATGCGCGACGTTATAAGATAAAACCTGTTCTATATTAGATTATTACCACAACAACCAGTGGTGCTATCAGACGTTTAATTTAATAAAATATTTGTACCAACAATTGTGTGTAAAAATGATAATATTATTATTTAGTGTTGCTGCATTAATGCCACACGGTAAGCTCGCCTCTTGTTACAGACTTGTGAAAATATTTATTGCCCATATCCATATTTGTAATATAACTTACACGTTTTATATCACATAATTTGTAAATCTATTGTCTACACGGATGACAATCTTGTGATTGCATTAAAAAAAACAGTATTGTTATGTCATGTAGATTTTAATTTCTTTTGTGTGGACCCCGCGCCGTACGCCCGCGTACCTACTACTGGAACACAATGCTTTACCAACTCATCTTGCCTTTGGATAAATATTTATTTATTCAACTATTGACAATTTACATTGCCAATGCGCATCTAGTACCAAATGTTGTGTTGCCACAGAAAGTGCGTAGGCAGGATTCCACGATGATCCAATTGAAATAATAATTATTAGAAAATTTACTTGTTTAAACATTGGTTCACAAAACAGTTAAAATGAATGTAGGCAGGTACATGCCAATATTCTTGATCTTGAACTGTCACGATGTCGCCATAATCAAACATTTTCGAAGGGCCTATTACGAGAATAGCAGCATAAATGTGACACACCAGGAAACAGTTCGTCTATCAGTTCGTTTGCTTTTTCAAATTTATTTTTATCTTCAGTGTTTTATCATCCTCTAATAGTTATTTAGGTATTAAGGTTATATAGACACCATTTAATATTATTTTGTTACTGCAGCTTAAATTATAAAAATGTAATTGTGCGTGGTGATTTTAATGTAAATATTGGAAGATACATCCTTAAGTTCAAGATTTATAAACCTATTCGGGTCATACAATCTTGATAATATTTTTTTTTTGGAGCCTACTAGGATCACAGCCACCACAGCCAGGTGCATAGATAATATATATTTACTGACATAGTGCCACACACCAAAGGAATAATAAACAAACTACATTCTGATCACTGTGGACAGATGTGTGCTATTGCTATGAAAAACAATTCTGTTTTTCATAAAATACCACCGTTCGGCGGTAACACGAGATATTACTGTAGTACCTAAAACTGTAACTCGTATGGAAAATTTCAAAAATAAACTCCTTAGTAAACTACCCCGCTTGGGTTATGTGATGATCCTAATCAATTATATAACGCTTTTTTTAACATGTATTGTTCAGAATTTAAATCAACTTTTACTCCTAAGAAGTTGTCAGTTAAAGGTGCTACAACCTTCAGTGAATGGGCTACCGTAGGTATATATAAAAGTAGAACAATGCTTTATGAGCTTTATGAAGAAAGAAATTATAATACTAGTATGGAATTTCGAGAATATGTCAAACAATATTCTAATTTATTTAAAAAAAATTGTTATTCTGCAAAGGTTAACTATTTAAGATCTAAAATTAGTAATAGTTCAAATAAAATTAGAATGACCTGGGCAATAATTAATACAGAAACTGGTAAAGCAAAGAACAAATGTAATAATTACAGCCTATAATTGATAATAAAGTAATTAATTCCGATATAGATGTCGCCACAGCTTTTGAAAAATTTTTCACAGACATTAAAGTCTCAATAACAGAATCATTGAATTCGTCCCCCACTATTGCAGAATCTTTATTGAAAGAGAATATAAAGATTTGTAATACTGAGTTTAGATTTAGTTGTATCACTGATAAAGATATAATAAAAACGATCAATGCTCTTACTGTTAAGAAAACCGCCGACCTTTGGGGTAATTCTGTACAAATAACTAAATCAATTATTAGCGTAGTTGCATCAGAGTTGGCCTTAATTTTCAATAGGTGCATTGAATGTGGTGTATTTCCTGATTTGATGAAACATAGTAAGATCATTCCTTTATTCAAGGCGGGTAGCACGTCTGATCCAAGAAATTATAGACCAATTTCAGTGTTGCCTACTTTCAGTAATATTTTTGAGAAGATTATACTGGATCAGCTACAAACTCGCTTTAGTGCAAGCAAAATTCTACACAGGAAACAGTTTGGATTCAGAAGAGGTCGCTCGACAAGTGATGCCGGTGTTGAACTTTTGGAAAATATATTTAGTGCCTGGGAGGATAAACAGGATGCCCTGGTTGTTTTTTGTGATTTATCTAAGGCATTCGACTGCGTTTTTCATAAAACATTAATCAGGAAATTGCATTACATGGAATTAGGAACACTGCTTTGGATCCTCTTATCTCTTATTTGGGTAATAGTATCCAGAGAGTGGAAGTTAATGGACAGAGATCCCTGGGGTCTCTGGTCATCATGGGAGTTCCGCAGGGCTCAATTCTCGGCCCATTTTTATTTCTTGTTTACATAAATGACCTACCTAATGTGATAAATGATGATCAGGAGATAGTACTATTTGCGGATGACACTTCACTTTTATTTAAACTTAAACGACAGCAATCAGTAACTGATGACGTGAATAGCACTCTCTCTAAGGTTGTGAACTAGTTTAATGTTAATAATTTACTTTTAAACGAGAATAAAACGAAATGTATTTGATTTTTTACACCTAATGTTACGCAGGTAAAGACCAATGTTCTAATAAATGGAAAGGAGTTGGATCTTGTGAACACCACCAAGTTTTTAGGTATAACACTAGACTCTAAATTGCAATGGGGCCCACACATTGACGGATTGTCGAATAGACTCAGCTCTGCAGCATACGCGGTTTATAAAATTCGTCAATTAACCGATGTAGAAACAGCTAGACTGGTGTATTTCGTTGTCAGGGTGTGTGATTTTACAATAAAGTGCCAAGCAAATTCCATGAATTCAGTATTAACAACTTTAAGTCTTTAGCAAAGCTAAAACTGTGTGAAAAGGCTTACTACACTATTACAGATTATTTAGACGACAAATTTGCTTGGGATTGATGCTGCTCTCTCCCACATTCACGTAGATATCTTTGTTGTTAAGTTTGAAAGTGATGGACATTTAATTATTATTATTTTTAATTTGAATTGTATAGTTTTTGTTTTTGTTTTTTGTGTAAGTATGTAAATTTGAGTATAGTGTAGGCTTGTAATGTTCATTCATATTTTATTAACTTTCTGGTGGTTTTGAGTGTTTCCACGGCCTACCCAAATGTCCTGCTGGCGGTAGTGTCATGCTTCGGGTCGTTGATCTTGACCAATATCGGTTAGGCTACACGATGGCTGGAGCCTGTATGCCATCTGTATGGACAAGCTGACTCAAAACTATGGTCCTTTCCTCAAAAGGCCTATCCAGACCCTATACTGTACTCGCACAGTTTTAACTTTGTTTACGGACTTAAAAAAAAAAGACACCTCTGTGGTTTGTTTCGGCGTTTCTTCCCAGAGTGAGTCTTAGGAAATGCCGGCTCCTTCTAGCTATAAAGTCCGACTTGTAAAAATATCTGAAAAGATTTACTTACAGAAATAAATATCATTTATCATTTATAGTGATAGCATGAAATTTTGTGACGTCTTATTATTGCCAGTTTTCTGTTTGTTATTGAAATAAAAAAATACCTATGTATATAAATTAACTAAGTACTTAAGCAATCTTGCACATAGAAGATTTAAAATTATTATATTACAGCCTAAATAAAAAAACAGCAGTTATCCTTTAAAGGTTTGATCATTTTATAAATTTCGTACAGAATTAAATGTTTTACCGACCGATGTGCAGAAGTGCTCAATATAGAGTTACAATAGATGGGCATATGTTGTGAACAAGTATGTCGACCGCCTATCAACCACTTTCGCTAACGCCAACCTTAATGTCACACCGATCTTCAGTGTGATGGTTTCACGCATCGTCAATTTAGGAAATTTTGCTAGTTATTTCTGACGCTATGAAAATAGAACCCATGAATAGAATCGCTTTTGAAGTTAGTGCGTGGGAAATTTGAATCACAATGACTATCAACATGCGAAGTGCACATAGGGCAGTTGAGCAGACTTCGACTTCATGAAAAGAAAAACGTAATTGGTTTCTACTTTCAGTGTGGAGTACACTACGGAAAGCTTTTCTAGCCAATCACCCTAGCCCCCAAGTCATCGTCTTATCATTTGTCTTAATCTTGGATTCGTGTACTTAAATCCTAATGTAATTAAATATAATCAATTTATCAATTGAATAGATATATATATATAGATATAGATATCGTGCTACTTAAAAAAAAGGTCCCTGATACTGTGGAAAACTAGCTTGGCCATAAAACAAATAGCAATAATAATCACTGATGTGAATCATCGCGAATGGCGGCAACAAACACTGCGCCAAGAACCAATAGATTCCAAGCTTTGGACTAATCAACTGCAAGTCAAGTCAACTTTCTCTGTTTCAGTTATTGCACAAAGTTGTCACTTACAACGCTGTATTGGCTGTCAACCAGAGCAAGCAGCTAATGTCGGCACACCAACACAATGTCAAGAAGGCAACTGGGTCTCTGCGACATGGATAGTCAGTGATGCACAACAGCCATCCTTCCCTGCCTTTCCCCCTACGATCCCTATACAATACAGTTGCTTGCAAATGGTCGCAACGCCAGATGACACAACCAGTAAGTTCTAATTATCCTTTTTTTTAACACTAGTCTGATATCAAAAGTTTTCATGATTCAGATGCATTAATACAGACATATTATATAGGTATGTTATAGTAAGTAGTAGTGGTTCCAAAATGGTTTTTACACTCAACAAATTTTAACGGTGATGATTCGAATATTTTTAAATAAAGCTCGTATCACGTTATTTCGAGAAAAACGTTTTATTAATATTCGAGAAAAACATAACTTTTTCTGCCTATCCGTGCTCAAGAGAAATTGACTGTTGTCACTGACGATTCAATTGACGGTTATATGGCACCCGAGGTTCCGTATCAAATATGTTGTGTCTTCTTACTTTTCTGCAAGCAGTAAGAGCCTTCAAAGATGTAACACTTGCGCTGAATCCGTTAAAAAAATTATAAATTGAAGAACGGGTTCACCTGTTTTACACTTGAGTATTTTGATTTGATTAATAACAAAAGTAAAAGCATCTCATGGATTTATTTCTATTTTTTCTATAACCGACACACGTACTCTGCATTGTGAGTAACGTAAGAACGTACCGTAAGTTATAGAATTCTGAACAACGAATGACCCCCCCCCCCCCCCCCCCCACACACACATAAGGCTCCACATGCTGGCTTTGCCGCCGTGGAGGCGCTGCAGGCGATCATCGTCGATTGGGCAGGACGGCAACACAGGACCCTCTTCTTCCGGCTGACGCAGGTTCTTTCCGGGCACGGCTGCTTCGGGAAGTACCTGCTACTACTCAGTCGTTAGGAATGAGAACTGAATCCCGCCTGTCACCACAGCGATTACAGTGAGGACTCGGCTCGCACAGCCTAACCTCCACTCGGATCCAATTCGTCCCCGTCGAACAGGGCGGCGGCGCCGCGCTTACCAGCGCCTCATGTAGCTTAAGTGTGGCCGCGGTTTTTCTCCACCATCCGCTATAGTGGCTAGCGGCGAGGAGTTGACGTCCATGTGTACTGTACGTCGCCTAAATAAAGAGTTTACCCAAAGGTTGTGCCCGCGCTGTTGCGAGCAGGCACTGGGAGGGGTCCAAATGTCTTAATATCAGATGTTCCCGTACCCCTTCTATCTCAGGCGCAGAGTGGCACACCGTGTGGTTTTAGTCGGTGTGATTCCCTCACACCGCCCCGCCGCAATCCCCAATGTATAGGTGTAGTATATGACAGATTCGTATACCTATGTGTATATATTATATGATTTTGTACAAGGTATACATACAATATTAAATGTCTAAATCAACTGTAACTAAAATGCACCTACTTCCTGTTTTCTTTGCATCACCCAATGAGTGACTGGTAGAGAATGCCTTAGGCATTAAGTCCACCAATGCACCAAATGTGCATGATGTGTAAATAAATAAAATATATTTTTCATATAAAATTTCAGTTGCCAACACGGTGGACCGTATCCGAGGTTGTATTCCCCGTCCGCTAGCCGAATCTGTCTGTCAAAATCTGGTAGCTGTGCAGAGAGCACGTGCTCATAGTGACGCGCGCTGCTACATCTGCAATGGAGATAATTGCAACTCCGTTTCAAGAATAGCAGCACCTTTGCACATTGCAATATTTTTAACACTTCTGTACGTCATTTTTAGTTAAAGAAAAACAAAAAACCATCTTGAAATTAGTGTAATAATGTTTTAAAATACTTTTTATGCATATTTTAATACAAGACGTACCTTGATTTACATTGTTGAATTTATTATTTTGCACTAATATATTTTAACAATAAAAGTATTGGATATATAAATTGCGTTTTTTTTATGACGATATATATTATTGCAATAAAATAGGTACATTATAAATGTTCAATACAATTACAAGGATCCGATATACACGTAGCATACATACGGAATGTTTTATACACATATATATTTATATGTCCAAATATGTATAAACTAAAAGCGAGCACCTTTTTGAAGTGAAAACTTTTTTAGGTGCGTTGGGCATTTTTGAACAACAAACATAAGAATGTATTTTATGGTTTAAAAACACATTTTTTGAGATGGGAAAAAACAATTGAACTCGCGACACTGTTACCTTACTTACTTACTTCTGTCAAACGAGCAGATGGGTTATCTGATGGTAGGAATCCCCGAAGTAGGGAGAGGAGGGCGGGGGGTAGGGGGGCTAAGGGACACCGATAATCTCACTCAATCGGTGAAAAGCTAGGAAAGAATTACTTGAGAACTTGACTAGTTACGTGAGAGCCTCTTTTACAACAATAATATTATTTACTCACTGTCGACTGACATACAAAAGTAAAAATAAATATGACAGTCTGAACTGATAAAATATTTTTAGTAGTTCATATTAAATGAGTATTATCAATTGGCTCTGGCTTTCAAATTACTTATTTTTGTGGCAGTAAAATGCTGAAGTGTACTTAACTAGTAAAATGCTGTGCTGCAAAAACGCTCTCCTTTTCAATGAAACGTGGACAACTGAAACGAAATATCTTCTGGAGACAGCTACTTCTATACTAAGTATTGTGTAGAGATGGGAGTGAACGAACACGTAGGCGTTTCTGGATTTGAAGCGATGGACATGGTTTCATCACGGCCTTTGATTTGATTTGGCCTCCGTCATTTCAGCCTTTGACATATACATTAGCAAGATGATTTGCTGTTACTGGATTAATTTCAGAGTCAGCTAATACTGAATAGGATCTAACATAGACCTGCCTTGGCAAATCCTGATTGGCAAACAGGAATTATTGCGAAACATAAAAAAAGATCGCTCTCTTCTCTTCCCCGCTTTTCAAGAGGAAGAGAGTTCACTCTCGTCTGTTAGAAGATTTGAAAACTGGATTTGGGCACACGGTAATAAAAGTTAACTAGAATAAATAACTGGAATATACTACTGAAACTTTGAAAAGCTATACAATTAGACATGATTTTTAAGAGAATTCCAGAAAGACTAGAAGGTTAAACTATAAAAGCATTAATCATATCACACTAGGTAGACAGTAATGTTAAGGAAAAATATTATTTTAATAGCCAGATAAAATCAAATGAGACTTAGTACCATTAAAAAAAACCGCGATAGGTTTTGAGTTCCAATACAACAAGTGACTGTAGTGTGTGTGTTTTTGTTTGGCTCATGACGCTATTGCGCTAAAAAATATCTCATTTATTATCCGATGATTCAAATACATTCTAAGAGTATAAATTTCACACTTGAGAGTATAACAATAAATAAAAATATCATTAATAACGGAATGACATTTTGGTAGCAATACAAGGTTTGGTCTTCACAGCCAGGATGCAATCTATAGGCTTAAATCGATGTGTTTTTTCAAATCTTATTTAAAATAAGTGTTCAATTCAATAGAAGTGAAAAATTCTAACATCTTAATAACTGGCTGGCTCGTAGTAGCTACGAATAGCTTAGTAGACAACTTTGTGCCAAATCATCAACCCGGAGGCTTTTTTCCAAACTAAGTTGGGGTCGGCTTTTAGTCTACTACGACATGGCTGATTTTTTTACATGGAGCGACTGCCATAAGACCTCCACAACACAAGTACTAGGCGATATCAAAGTTCTGTAGATAGGTGGCTTTTTAGGGCTCCAGCTACCCGTAATGGTTGCCACGGATGTTCGTGTGGCAACAGGCTTAACGTGTTCTCTAAAGCTCGGAGGGGTCTCAATGCGTAAGGAATGGTCACCCATCCATAGATTGATTATATAGGATAGGATTGCTTGACTCTGCAATGTACTAACCTACTCGATTACCACGAGCCACGAGTGCTAAATGAAATAAAAAATAATTTGCGTTACCTATGTACTTTTTTGCCCTCTTACAAGTCAACACCAAACTTTATATATGTACCATGTTAACATACTATTATAATAATATATAACAATTATTGCTTAATTAATATCAACTTAATCTGATCACGACATTGACATAACAATAGATGGCTTTAACAAAATTCGATTACATGAGATTACACCAGTTAGTAACAAGTTCCAAGAGTAAAATGGTCAGTCAGACGATTGTCTCTGCCCGTCTTGCACATATTGTTTGCAGAGTTTCTTACGTGTAGTTATACAAATAAATTTAATATTAACTAATGACCACCGTTTACCATTATGACTTCTGTTAGCTTTTGAGGCAGTATTTTAAATATGAAAGAAAGCCTTAAACAGAAATGCATAATTTTAATAATAAAAAAAAGTTTATAAAAGAGTTTCAAATGCAGCTCATATAAGTTCATGTATTGTTAGGTCGAAGTAATTTTGCTATTAATAATATTATGATTATTAATATTATATTAAGAAATACAAAAATCACCACTTAAGATCTTATCACTATAATCTAATAATATCATTGCAAAAATATCATTAACATCACAGGTGCTAATATTACTAAATTAATATTCCTATAATAATTAATTTGTAGTATAAGATTCAGAATCAGACTCAATTAATTAAGTACGTCAATCTCAGTTTGGAGTATCACTAAAAGCTATATTTAAAAATGCTAAGCAATAGGTACCACTTCAGAGATATGTGGTTTTCCTTCTTCGGTGCAAGTCACTATATGTAACTTCTTTCTAGTAAGATAAAAAATATGAAAATTTAGTTTAAAAACCTAACATGAACATTATCTGCTAATGTTAATAAGGGGTTTGAGTTTACGGAGTAAACTTCAATCACATGATACACCTAATAGGTCTATCAATCACTGAATGCTGGGTCTCCAAAACAGAAACCCAACGTAAAAACTTACCCAAATTGTGAGTTTTTATATAATTTGTACTAACTACTTGTATCACAATTAATGCCAAGGCACTCTGTTAAAATACCAAATTTGTCTATCTGTTTTAATACACTTTGAAGCTGTCAGAGGCTCTAGAATTCCTTTTTGATTTTTTCTATTTTTAATCATAGTTAGACAAAGACCACCTTTGGTAGTCAACCTTGGGCCTTTCTGTATCCATATTTGGTTGGTAAGGTTCTTACAACTAGCCCAAACTGCGACGTCGACTCCTTGCTGCAGGCAAAGCCCTTCATCGGCCATTATTTTGCCCTCAGGTGAAAAGACTACTAAACTATTTATATCCATGTCGGAACCACATATTACACTAGTAGCATCACGACCTATCACAGGAGTCGCAGAAGGCAGAACACCTATACATCCGCCTGCTTTATTTTTGATCCTACCAAACCATCTACTATCGTTTGGAAAAAAGTTTTGAGGCCAGACATTTTCTAAATACCATTTAAAGCTTTTACACTGCAAACGCTTTCTTAATTCTATTCTATCTGAGACTTCTTGCTTCTCACGTATGTCGGCCAACCAAGGATTAAACTTGACAAAGAAGTCAGCCCATTCATCCATCCATACCATAGCTGCTCGGACAAGGTTTACAGTCACAATTTTATTTATAAAACCGTCGTATCCATAAGGGCTGTTTTTTCTAAATATATGACCAACTCTGGAACATGGTGTTATCTCAACTCTAGCACCGCATTGCCATGCTCTCCATGAGAGCTCTAAATTTTCGGCTCCCCATATTTTCATACCTTCATCATAACCGCCTAACCTCCAGAAAAGGCTTCGTCTGACAGCGAAAAGGCCTCCCGCCATGGTAGGTGTTGAATATGGTTTGGTAGGGTTAACCAATTTCTGTCTGATTACTTCACTGCTAGGCATAAACCATCGGAATTGTAATCGCCAACTGAACGCGCCCCAGTGTGCGTCAATACTCTTGGTGTATGCTAAGGTATTTTCAGATATAAGATCGATGTGTGGACAAATAAAGACATCATCGTTTCCTGCTCTCTCTAACAGTGGCTCAAGCCATCCTTCAGTCACCTGGAAAACCATATAGCATATTTTACGATATTTTACCTAGACAGACCTATATTACCGAATATAATGTTAGTATGCTTGCGATTCTGTGTTTTTTTTAATTTATATTTTAACTTTGTTTTCATTTGTGTTGATGTATATATGTATGTCTTTAATTATCGTAATTGGTGAAACCGTTATAATTAAAGTAAATAAATATAACTAATAATATTAATTTTCAAAGTAGCCTTAGAGCCTTCTTAGAGGACTTCCCGGACCTGCTTAAAGTATTGCTAAGAGCTTTCCCGACCTCCTCTCTCCTCAAGTCATCGTAAACGCAATATCTATACATTACTTGTTATAATTGTACTGAATCTGAGTATATTATGTGCTTGTAAAGGTATCCGAGATAGACATTCTTTTCTTTTTTTAAAATCATACTAAAAAGGTAATATTTCATAGGTGCCAAAATTTACTAGGTAACCGGTAACTAACCTCACAATGGGCATCAAGGAACACCAACACGTCACCAATCGCATTCCTAGCGCCCAACAACCTCGCCCCTACAAGCCCCGTTCTATTAGGATTCCTCAATAATTGCACTTTATTTAGTTTAGCGACAGCGTCTTCTAGTTCTTTGCCGAGATATCCCCTTTTACTGTAGTCATCTACCAAAATTACCTGAAATAGTAAAATCTGTTTTATAATTATTATTTCTAATGTGTTTATTATGGGAGAAGTGGCATGAAAGTGCCAGTTTACTAAACGAAGCAATAAAACATACTTTTAATGAAAGAAATTCTGTTTTTTTTTCTTCAATTATTATATATTTATTAAAATAGGTAATTTAATATGAAAAAACCTTAAACGCTATGAAATAATCAACGAAATATTCAATAAAAAAAAGAGATTTTTGGCGCTTTCATAACATTTCGGTATTGAAAGAGCTACTAAAAGTTATGAAACAGCCTGTCATTATTCTAAAGTGTAATTGTAAAAATTATGTTAAATAATAATTAATTTACTATTAAAAAATAAATAAAAAGAAAGTACAGTACATGACAGTAACAAATCCTTTTTAAAACCTAATGTCATTTTCATTTTTAAGAAATTTTTAATTCTACCAGTAATTTTCTTAAATCTTAACATATTATTCAGACATACCTATTGTATATATATATAATCTTAACATATTATAGGCGGCAACTAACAATCTTAATAGGTTAACCATATAACAAATAATATCTTCTATCAAAAACAACATCAAAAAACCACCAGCAGCATTAATAAAGAACAGAGTTGTTACTAATGTTCCTCGTTCAGCTGAGGTATCTTGCCCAATTAGTTTCGAACCTATTTCAGCCATGAATTTACGAGTATTGGTGATGGTGCTGCAGCCTGTTTTGTCAGCGTTAACAATGATAGGGGGAGGAAAATTCTATTTGCGTAAAACAGTGCTTAGTTTCTCAAAACATGTGTTTACATTAGTTTTATTAAAACTTGTTGCGAAGTGCGTGCGTTGCGTGCGTTGTAGAGAAGTGCATTCAGGTTTTCTCACAGTTAAATCTTTGTGCCTGCTTATAAACCCTTTGAGCTAATCATCACTCGCAATTTTAATTTCCTTCCATTTATCTAAAGTAATATCATGGGTCATGGCATAATCAAATGCCAGCTTCTTAGTTTGTTGCCTTGTTAGGCCATCGCACATTTTAAAAGCAGTCTTTAAAATGATCTGCAAGCATATTCTCCTGGTCTGTTGTGGAAATACGCTATTTCCTATATTAGGACAGTGTTTATAAGCTGATTCACCAGAAGCCTTTACTTTTTTAACTATTTCAGCTAAGTATGCACTCGATATATTTAAGATAACTGCAGTTTTGTTTATGGACTAATCTTTCTTCAAAACTTAACTGACTGCTTCTTCAATTACCGATTTTTCTGGTCTTTTCGTTTTTCTGGACCAGGCTTCTCCATAATGCAATATCTGAAGCAAATATTTTAATAATATACAAAAAAATGCATATTTATTATTATTTTATTTTATTTACAAAATTCAAATGCAGGGTTATGAAAAAGCCGGTTATGAAAGAGCCAGCTCTTTTAAGGCCCATTCACCGGCTCTTTCATAACTAATTAAAAAAAAACTTTATAATAACAACAATATCAAAACTTTTCCACCTGTTTTTTCTTTTTGTATAACCCATATTATCGCAAATAAATTGAATTGAATTGAATTGAAAACTTTTGGGCCTCAGTTTTTACGCAGCTAACTCAATCTACAATCCATTTAACTATACTTTTTTACAATAAAATACCAAAAAAAAGTTAAATGAAGCAACATACTTACTTTTTAGTACCAAAAACTTTGACTTGATGTGCCGGTGTCCGTTGGTTTCGGCAGACTGTCAAATGTTTGTGGATAACGGGAAATCAGTGTCGCCGCTTAAAAACAAAATTACCAACCAAATCCGTTCTTAAAGTACCAAAATAATGTAAGTGGCTCTTTCAAAACCTGGCTCATTCATGACACTTCTCCCCTAATGTGTATCCACGATACAAAGTGAATACAGTACATATCATCGTTGACAATACAATTTCCTTTCTGCTAATATGCTTCTTTACCTCTTTAAAGCTTCTTTCCGTCGAAAGTAACCTAAATGCCTATAACTATAAAAAGTATGGAGAAGCGAATAAAGGGTTTTCCAACAAGAGGTGTTTATTTTGAATCACCCGGTATTTCGGTAGCTGTCACTTTTGAAGCTTTTATTTTTGACATTTGACAAGTAAAAACTACGCCATTACTAAAAATGGAACGATACACACTTCAACAACGCATTGAAATTATTAAAATTCACTACAAAAATGGTGAAAATCTAGCAGTCACAGTTCGCAAAACTAAAGCACATTTTGGTCGTCGTGAAGCACCTTGTCGGACCGCAATACAGAAATTGGTGGAAAAATTCGAGCTGTTGGGACAAGTTAGTGATGTGAAGAATAAAAGCCGTGCACGTCGCTTAAGAACAACTGAGAATATTGCTGCTGTAGCCCAAAGTGTTGAAGAAAACGCAGGTTTGTCCATTCCTCGTCGTTCTTTGGAATTGGGCATTCCACAAACGTCATTACAACGTATTTTGCATAAAGACTTGGGTCTTAAGGCTTATAAAGTTCAGTTAACACAAGAACTCAAGCCGGCCGATCATCAACAACGTCGTGTCTTTGCTGATTGGGTACTTGAAATGCATGAAAATGATCCGGAATTCCATCGAAAAAACATCTTGACTGATGAGGCCCATTTCCACCTAGGAGGCTACGTCAACAAGCAAATTTGTCGCATCTGGGGCTCGGAAAACCCAAGAGTTATTGTTGAGAAGTCTCTCCTCCTCAACGTGTGACTGTTTGGTGCGGCTTATGGTCCGGCGGGGTCATTGGACCTTACTTTTTCGAAAATGAGGTTGGATCAACACTTACGGTGAATGGATTGCGCTTTCGAGATAATAATATAATAATGATTTTTTATGGCCGGAGTTGGATGGTATTGATCTGGACAACGTTTACTTTCAACAAGACAAACGCTCCGTGCCACACAAGCAACGAAACCATTGCTCTTTTACGGGAAAAGTTGCCTGACCGTGTTATCTCTCGAAGAGGTGATCACAATTGGCCACCGAGATCTTGTGATTTAACACCTTGCGACTTCTTCCTTTGGGGCCACGTGAAAGATAAGGTCTACGCCAACAGCCCAGCGTCGATTCAAGACCTCAAAGATGGAATTCGTGAGGCTATCGAGGACATACGGCAGCCCCTTTGCGATTTGGTTATGCAAAATTTCATTAAAAGGATATGGTCCTGTAAGCGTGGTCGTGGTAGCCATTTGGCTCATGTTATCTTCCATTATTAACGGCATACCTTCCTCTTTATTATAAAATAAACAGCCGATTATTTATCTTAAAAAATTGCATTTTTCTTTGAGTACTAAAATAACACCTCTTATTGGAAAACCCTGTATATTTATTTAAAGAGACAACTCCCGCACTAAGAATATATCCTGTGTCGCGGAGGACATTACAAACATACATGGAACGGACACAAAGAACACCCAGACTCAGAACAACAATTTTTGGATCACACAAAATATTATTCCATGTGGGGATCGAACACACAATACTCGGCGGAGTAGGAAGCGGAGAGGTGACCGGTTAAACCACTACGCCATCCGTGGAGTCGTTTTCTTATAACCAAAACAGTTATAGCATAAATGTCAGATATAAAGGAATTATATTTTAAATAAGAAATTTGATGTATTTTTAGCCAATTCATAAAATATATTATTTAATGTTTAATATTAACAGTTAATGTTTTATTTAACTTTTAATATTTACAAGGAGAATTACGAAAACAGGTTGATAAAGTTCACAGCAGCGCTGGCGCAACCCAAAACATTTTCTGCTTGTGATCCAGTGACCGTGAAGTTGTGCAAATCATTCAAAGGTCATTATATTGTTAATTTATGCGTATGCATGAGGTTTAACTAAATTCAAGGTGTTGAATATTTTATAAATCTCTGTCGTATAAAAACCACCGTCAAAATCAAGATAGTACAGTAGAACCCGTATAGTACCCGTAGTTTTATATATATTTTCCACGAAAAGAGATGTAGATTCTTTGAACACTAGACTAGGCTATTAGAAAAAGTTTATTAAACATAAAAACAAAACATTAGTAGAACTCATCTCTGACAGTACTTCTGAGAATAAGTGAAAGCTGTGAACTTGTTCATCAGATAATGGATCCCGTTTTTGTTAGCAATTAGTTGAAAATAGGTAAATATATATAAAAAGTTAATGTCTTAAATATAATAATTTACTTTTTTAATAAATTTTGTTCTTGTGAAATGAAAAAATAAATGTAGTGTTGGTTTAACTATTTCACAATTAATCATTTACAATGTGATACAATCGTAATTAGTGTCTACGGCCCTATTTGACAAGAGCCTGTAGGGTAAAATGAGATTTTTTGAAAAGTTAATTTATGTGTTACGGTCTAATTAGATCAGAATATTGTTGTTAGTTGAGGAGTACTCCTTGTGTTTCATCATAACTCATCTTATGCATTTGCTGTTCCCTTTCCAATTAATTTACGTATTGGAATTTTTTCCAATACGCATATAGTATTGACTCAGATGGACAAGGTTAGGAATGAGTATATACGAGGGAGTCTGAAAGTAGCGCCACTGGATGAAAAGTTAAGAAATAATAGGTTATCTTGGTATGGACATGTCATGCGGAGGGATGAGGAAAATGTGGCGAAGAAAGTTTTAGGTATGGGAGTTGAAGGGTATAAGAGAAGAGGCAGACCGAAGAAAAGGTGGATGGACTGCGTGAGGGAGGATATGGCTAGGAAGGGAGTAAACAGTGAGATGACGCATGATAGAGTAGAATGAAAAAATCATACATACTGCGCCGACCCCAAATAAAATTGGGAAAAGGGTAGGCAGATGATGATGACGCATATTGTATTGACAATTTGATATAAAAAAAAACGAGCAAGTTGATTTTGCCAGTTGTTTCACCAGATACTGCCTTACTGAAGAAGGTTTTTGCAGGACAGTAGGTTTATGTTGCGATTGCTACAGAAGATGGGTTATTTAGAATGGTAAATAGGACAGTGAGAGCGCGTAATTTACAACGTAGACGAATGGGTAACCAGTTAAGCTGCGAACGGAAAGACGACACATGATCATATTTACGGAGGTTAAGATTATCTTGAGTTGAAAGTACTTTAATTATGAAAATGAAGGCTATTATACTTAGGCTGATTTTTACGATATCCATTCTAATCCATACTAATATTACAAATGCAAAAGTGTGTCTGTCTGTCTATCTGTCGGTCTGTCTGTCTGGGTGTCTGAACCGATTTAGATGAAATTCGGTACAGATATCGTCCAAGTCTCAGGAAAGGATATAAGGTGTTTTTATCCCGGAAAACATCATTTAAGGGGGGTGAATTTGTATGGGGAATTAACAACCGCTAAACCGACTTAGATGAAATTTGGTATGAAGATACCTTGATTCTTAAGGCAAGACATAGGCAGACTTTTTACCGCGATAACCGCCATTTACGCAGCGGGGGCGTAGGCAAAAGCAAGTCTTCATACATATAAACAAGTTACCTTTCTATTGCAAAAAAATAACACCTAATAAAAATTAAATGTTTCGCAAAATTTCAACCTAAGAAATGGTCATTTATGAGTTATCCATACTTCCTTACTTATAAACGTAAAAGTGAGTTGGTTTATTTGTTACGCTTACACGCCTAAACGACTAAACCGATTTTAAAAGTTTTGGACCAATGGAAAGCTTCATTATCAACGAGTAACATAGATTACTTTTCACCACAATAGCCGACATACACGAGGGCTGAGTCTCCTTGAAAATAAATAAGTACTCTATGTACAATATTCAAAGTAGTTTTCTAGCGCAAGAGTTGTAGTTGTATTGTAAGAGTTGTAGCTTAATTAATTGAAAGTTACTTTAAGCTTTAGTTATTTTATCGTGTTTTTATATCACTTTTTTTATTAATTGTTTGTTCTCAGATTTGAGTACAAATATACATAAAATATTTTTATTTTATTTGATTTGTAAAAAGAGTTTTTTATTTATTCTTCTTCAAAAATATTAAGTATACTTAATTATTGGTGAAAATAAGTAAAAATTGTCTCTCGATTGATAAGATGTAATTGTCGATTGATTGATAAGATGATTTGATAAGATGTTCATATATGTAAACAGGTAAGATTGGGGTAAATAAGAAAAAAAAATCGTCTTTAGTAATTTACTACAAACGTTTCTATTCTCACACTACCGTAAAAAATAACACAACACACAACAGTACATAGCGTGGGATAAGGTCAATGAGAAAGAAAGAAAGAACAGTCATAAACTTTCGCTTTTATAATAATAGAGAGGTCAGTACGATTTATAATATGAGTAAGATTTTTGCCATAGATGTAAGTATCAAGATTATTAAGAAAGTAATTAAAAAAATCTCCCTGGTAGGATAATTCTGAGTACGTCCCCAAGTCGTCGTTCTGAGTACGACCCCTTACATCCGCCACCAAGTGTGAGACAGCTAAATTACGTAGCAACGTATGTCGACGTTGCTACGTAGCCGTTCGTTGCTATCCATCCAAAGAAAAACAGAACTTGCTACTTTTGAAGTTGTTTGAGGAAGGAGTACGCTCTTTTCTTGAAGGCCGTATCGGTCCGGAAATACTGCAGAAATACTGCAGTTCCACAGGTTGGTTTTGCGAAACTAAAAGTGTCTTGACACGCACTTGAAGCGCACAGTGGTAAAGTGCCAATTATCCAACTGGTAGAGATGAAAATTTTGCCGTGTGGAACGATGGAGGAAATTTTATTATTTTATTATTATATATATATTTTAATATTTTATTAGTCCGAACAATTCCTCCGAGCACTCCCCATGATATATACAATAAGAGCTTAACACCCCCTCGCCCTGCAAACTGTCACGCATTGTTTCATAGGGAAATCCAATTACAACACTTCCTCTTTGTATTTGCTCCGTGGATTTGGACAGATTTCAATATTTTAAGCATAAAAAAAAACTATTTTAGAGATATCTAATCAGTTTTGTTTACAAAATAACTTATTCAAACAATTTTTGTTTAAAAACTAGGCAGATGTACATCTGTTTTACTTTATATCTGTATTCGAGTAGTTTTAACACAACATAGGTTCTGTGGTTTCTGACGAGACTTCGGAGAATATTCTACAGATAACTTGTCGTTAAATAAAGAATCATTCAATACATACCTGCTTAAGCAGCATTTTAGGAGATCTTGTTAAGACAGACATGACTGTTCTGAGAAGTGTAGACCACGCTTCATTATGAAACACGATGATTACCGTCGCTGTTGGTAGATTTTCCAGATCAAATTTTACAAATCTACAACTGAAAAATAAAACATTAGGGCATTTTCAGATATCAAAATGCTTCCGGATTAAGAATACGGAGTTTCACCAACCCTATTCATTTCGTGTGTTTCGTAAGAGCCGACTAAGTATGCAAACTACGCAGGACAACAGGACTGCAAAGAGAAGGAAAACTTGACACAAACCCTATAGCAACCCGTCTGGCCAATGGTAGGCCAAAACCTCCTTTCTAAGGAGAGGCCTATGTCCAACGGTAGACTATCAAAGGCCGTTGATGATTGGAATCGTATGACAAATAGTGTAGATACTGCGTAAGGTCCATCCAAAGAAAAAAAGAACTTGCTACTTTTGAAGTTGGTGGAAAGTCCATTTTCAAAAGTGTGTACAACTCATTTGTTTAAGGTTTTTTTTTATGTTAAGAGAGGGCAGAAGAGCAGACGGATCACCTGACAGAAAGTGACCATCGCCGCCCATGAACGTGTGCAACTCAGGAGTCACAAACGCGTTGCCGGCCCTTTAGGAAGGAGTACGCTCTTTTCTTGAAGGTTTGAATTTAATTGCATTTAGATACGGTCGTATCGGACCGATACGATATCGATACGATACGAAATGCCGCAAACGATATCCCGTTTCAAAGTTGGTTGTGCGGAGCAAAAAGTGTCTCGAAAAGCGCACAGTAGTGGAACGCCAACTATCCAGGTGATGAGGATGAAAATTTTGCAGTGTGGAACGATGGCGGAAAGTTGCGGCTGTTATTAGTCCGAACAATTACTCGGAGCACTCTCCATGATACATGAGATAGAGAATACAGAGTGAAGCCACATCTCTACAAAACGCCAAGGGATGGAGGCCTTCGATATGTCTAAACTAACCGCGCTAGATCGAGACCAAAGGAGAGCCTTTGGTCTAGATCTCCTGTGCCCACCGGTGTGTTAGAAAGGCGAGAAGATCACCAGCTGAGCGACCCGGCGAAAACGATATTGTCGGTCATTGAGTAGCTGGTGATCATCCAAGTACCGGAGCAACTGGCAGTTGATTATGGATTCCATAATCTTAGAGAACAAAGGCGTTATGGCTATAGGCCTGTAGTTGGACGGATCAGAGCAGTCACCGTTTTTAGTAATCGGGTGCACAATCGCTACCTTCCAGAACTTCGGGACGTCGCCTTGGGAGTAGGAGAGACGAAAAAGGCGCGTTAAAACCAGTGCCAACTCCGGAACGTGTCTTCAACACGATAGAAGAGATTCCATCGGGCTCAAACGACTCATGAATGTCGAGGGAATAAGTGCTTTACGCACTGATTTTTGTGTGAACTGGATTTCCGGCATATAGCTTTAGCACCGCGGCATGGTCGGCGGTACGTTGCCAAAGTCGAGTTCAAATCCAAAGTTTGCCTAAGAAATCAGCTTTCTCGTTGGCATCATAGGCCAACGAATTATTTCCCATCTGCATGAGTTGAAAGGATTGGCTACAAAATTCCCCTGCACAGCATTGGCAAGAGACCAGAATGCACGGATTCCAGAAGGAAGTCTCACCAGTCTCTCACAGATCCGGCTGATGTGCTCCGATTTCGCCCAAGCAATGGCTCTTTTAAGGGACCTGGAGGCAGTTATATTGTTTTTGTAGCGTGCTGGTATTTACATCGTCTGCCGTCGCTGCATTTGCCCATCCTTGGTAGCACCTGCCACCGATGGGAATTAATGTAGAAGGAACGAATCGTCCCATGCCCTGGAGTACTACAACAGTGACAATATCGGCAACGAAGGTGGGATCATCCGGCAAGAAACAGACCTGCCTCCATGCGTAGGACGCAAAGAAAAAGCGCATCCCATCCTAGTCCGCTGACCTATAGTGCCATTCACGGCGGTAGCCTGCAACTCACGGCCGCGGCAAGCGCGTGAGTGGCACTGTACTGCGGATTAGACAATGATCCGAGTAGCCAAGTGGGGCTTCAACGGTGATTTTGTAACCGTCCGGATCGGAGGTCAGCAGAAGCTCCAACAATGAAGGCGTATGACTTTCCACATCTGGAACTCGCGTGGGTGTTGATACCAGTTGTGACAAGCCACAGGTCAGGGCGGAATCGTGAACAGATCTCCCCGCGTGATCGGTCTTACGTAATCCAAGCCATTCGGCGTTCGTCATTTAAAGACACTTTTTTAAAGTTTATACGAACATATTACTAAATACGACTAAAGCTTTAAGCAGGAAACTCCATTTTATGTGACATGAAAAACAAATATCTCTCAAAGAATCATTATTGAAAAATGGTCTTGTTTGAAATTCTATTAGATTAGCTTTACACAAAAGATTGTTGCCGAAATAGAATCTGCTGACTAAGACCCACCGTACAGAAGAGTACTAAAGCTTAGGGTTCACCGTCCTCTCTATGGACAAGGTCACCACAAACGATTGTAATGTCCTGTCTTTTCATTGTCTAGACAGAAAATCTGATCTGACCAGAAGCGCTGTGTGATATTTTCGACATTATTGATTCGTGAAAAAAAAGAAGGATGATACTCGTGTTTAAACTAACTATATATGCATCTAATAAGTTTGTTTTATACGAAAATAATTCATCGGTAATCTACTTAAAAAACAACAACAATTAAAATACCCAGAGATTTAAAGAAATCCATGTTTTGTCAGAAGAAAAATAAAAACAAACAGTAAATACTATTATATTAGGTTTTAGATAGTGTTACCTGTCACTGCGCATATCAGGAAGACTTCTGTTAATAGATATTTTATCACCAACAAGTATGTTATAAGAATGTAGTGAATATAACTCCCGAGCTGTTATGAGTTCTCTTTGCGACAACTCGACAGGACGGCCACCTTCACCAGCTCCTGGCACTGGAGAGTAACGGTTGCCATTTATAATCTCTGCAGAAAATAAATATAAGTTAAACATGACCTTTTTCCTTTGAAAAATCATTTACTGTTATTTGATTTACTGAAACCCTTTTGGATTCTAAGAAAGCAAATTTACCTGCAGTGGTGGAGCAGTTTGCATGGTCAGAGAGGATACAAAAACTATTTTTAAGGTTTTACAAACATAAATTCTTTTGAAGCTTTTTTATACATAAAGTAATTTAAAATTCATGCAATTAGACTTAATAATATACAGCAATCATACTATTAATGCTATAAGCCACTGCTTTGGCTTTGGAAACTGACATAAAGTTAAAAGAAAAAGAATGAGCTTTGAACTGAGTCTAAAATGAATTAGGATTTAGTTAGAACATGGTTTTAAATTAAAATTTAAACATAGAATAAAATTTGCTTTAATGTCTATATATATGTCATGTATTGTAAAACATCTAATGATATGTGTCATGCTGCATTTAAATAAAAAAGTTTTTAAATATGTGTATGATTTTGTTATTTCTGAACCAAATACATGATCTACACAATGTACCATGGAATGAAAATTAGTTAAACATTCAACAGATGTTATCTTACAATTTTCTATAGACTAACACAATTTAAAATATTTACCATCTGATAAATTTCCACTGGCAGCTCCAATATAATGACCAACTATAACTCTCATTCCACTCTCATCCACATATGAGTTTTTTCCATAATTTAAACTAAAAATTAGAAAAACATCCAGTATTATTAAATTATTTATGAAGTTTGTGTTAAACAAAAGGTTAACACATAAATGTTTGGTTTCCATACATTATATGCTCATTACCCTTATCTCTAAGTGTTTTATATGTCCTGAGACTCTTGAAATAATTCTTTGGCAGAATTTAAAGATAACATGTATGGAATGTCAATAATCCCAAATTTAACTAAGCATAAATAAAGTTTTACAGAAATTATTGACTATATTCTAACAAATCTTAAAATAAACTCACTTGTTGTACCAATATGCTTTATGTTTTCTTTTAACAGAATCATACAGCTGCAAGCTTACATAAAACATTGCATTAATTAAAAGTATTAATATAACTGTAAGTGTTACAATCTTTTTCTTTCGTCCTCTACACATTAAAGACCAATAATCCTGAAAAAAAAAGATGAGAATCCTTACGAAATCTACTGTGGGTGTAATAAATTTAGTGCAAAACCTCAATTATTTAAATTAAAACTGAGTATTATTAAAAAGTATGATAAAATATGTATGTAATAATGATAACTTACACTTTTAATTAACATTTTTTCAAATAAGATTTTTAAATTTTTATTAAATGTAAGAAACTTAAAGTACTACATTGGTCTTTTGCAATTCACTGTTTAATCAAAACTTATTAAAACCATACTGTTATACCGTTCTTATTGTAACAAACTGTTTCCTCAATATGTAGGTTTTTAATATCTCATTATTTCAAATATTGGACAAGGCGCCGTAATAAATTTTAATTATTTGTAGTGATTCCAAATTTACAAAACTTTAAAGTGGATGGATCTAAGTTGTCAGAATTGACAGATATTATCTTTTCACAGAAACTGCATTCTTTGAGTTATGTTTTCAATTTCAAAGAATTATTAGTTTATTAGTACTTGCTTGGTATATTAAAAACATATATATTTAATAATTAAAAATTAAAGTAGTCGGAATAAAGTATTGAATTACAACTATGTGTTAGAGACATGGCGTTGTACTTAAGTCCTGACAAGGACTAGCTCCGGAATTTGTTAATTTTTTTTCTGACATTGGATTTAAAATCATGCTAATCGGATTCCTCTCCGGTTCATTACCCTTTTTAGATAAAATGTTTGTAACATGTGAAATAATTTTTAACTTAAAGAATGTTAACCCTACAGTATTATTTTGTAAGACCGCGTAAAATATTACGCTTAAATTGACTGAAGATCATATGGTTTCGAGCTTGAGGATCTATTATTGAAGCAAAGTAGATATTTCCTTATTTGCAATACCTACTTTGCATTTGACGTTTAAGTCAACTTCAAACCTAAACACATCCTCAAAAAAAGGCTTGAAGGTAGATTAAAGTACAGCAAAATGATCATAGAAGGGTTTCTTCTTTTGAAGAAACGACTTCAATAAGACTTTATTTTAAATAACACACAAGTTTAGTCTTAGACTTCTTTACTCTCTTAGAAATCATTTTTTGACAATTTTTAGGTTTACTGGCACCGGCTTTTTGAATAAAGATTTTTTGGAGTGGATGAGTTGGAGATTTTGATCAAAATCCATGATTGTGATTATGGTACAGTTCTGGCAACTGGCAAGACTTTAGTCATATTGAAATTTCAGTTGATCCTTTGGCGGGAATTTGGACTGAAAGGGCGGAAAATTTTAAACAAATTTGCAAAATTTTTTTTCTATTGTAATTTAGTGTATATAGTGGAGTGTATATAATTAAAATCTAGTATAGAGAGGTAAAAATGGTTATCGATGAGGGCGGGGGTGATAATCCCCCGGCCCAGAGTAATAAAAGGCCTAGGAAAAGGGTCACCGAGAAAGACTGTGAAAAAAACGACGGCGGTGAGGACAATATATTCTTACCGTATTACAAACCAGACTATAAACGGTTATATCCGGAAAATGCGAATTCAACTGAGTTTAAAGTGTTCGTTGAATCAACTTCAAACGAGAGACTGGGCAACAAAAGTCCGATATATCTGAACCATATTTTTTCAAGTGGAATCAAAGGTGTAGTGGCAATTCGGCGAATAAATGCGAATAAGATTGTGGTGATATTTAAACAATTCAATACGGCCAATAACTTTATTAACAATAAGACATTCTTAGAGAAAAATTCCATGCGAGCATTCATTCCAGCTGCTCATATTGAAAAAACCGGTATCATACGATTTGTTCCAACGAACATATCAAACAAGGACTTGTACTCAAAACTATCGTCGATCTACGAAATAATTTCAATCAGACGGTTTTTAAAAAAAGTAGGACAGGAACGTGTACCTTTACAAACTGTAAGCATTACATTTCTATCAAATACACTTCCTGATAATGTTCAATATGACCTGTTCTCTTACAGAGTTTTTGATTATATTCCTCCTCTGCAGCAGTGTTATAGATGTTTTAAATTCAATCACTCAGCCAAGGTCTGCAGTGGCAAACAGCGCTGCAGCTGTTGTGCTGGTGATCATCATTATAAAGAGTGTGAGTAGCCAAATGAGCTCTGCTGTGTTAACTGCAGTGGGCCGCATATGGCCATCTCAAGGGCCTGTCCCATAAAAATGAAAAAAATTATGGCCATGTTACTCTTATTCTTATGATTGTTTGCTGTATCAAATCCCAATAATAACCCATTCTATTAATAATAATCAGGATATGTTAGAATTTTTAAGTGAAAATAGAGATTTCTACACACTCTATACTGATGGCAGTAAAGGGGAAAATTATGTTCGTAGTGCTGTTTATAACCCTCAGACTAAATTCGTTCAAAGTTTTGTTCTGAATAGTAATTGTAGTATATTTACTGCAGAGGCTTATGCAGTTTTAGAGGCAGTTAAGATCATTTCGTTTGTAAATGATCAACAAAAAAATTTAATTTTTACTGACTCCTTAAGTTTAATTAAATCTTTAGAAAGCTCACAAATTCACTTTAAGTCATCATATTTGATTTTTAAAATAAGAGAAATTATTTATAATTGCATGAAAAAAGGCCTGGAAATTTCTCTTATGTGGATTCCTTCACATAAAGAAATTTCAGGCAATGAAATAGCTGATAAGGCTGCATATGAAGGAATTAATTCATTGGATGTCTCATTATTTGTAAATATACCAATGACAGATTGTTACTCAACCGTAAAATATGATGTAAAGAAGCTATGGAAAGAATTCTGGAAAAAAGATCAGGAAGTTAAGGGAAAATGGTATGGGAACATCCAACAAGACTTACCATGCAAGCCTTGGTTTTATTGTTTACCAAGTGCCAGCCGTGACTTTATCACCACAATCAATCGACTTCGTTTTGGTCATTCTAAGACTCCTGCGCACTTATCCAGACTTGGAATAATTGAAGATGACAAATGTATCAACTGTGGTAGTGTCGGTGATGTAGATCATATGATCTTCTCGTGTCCAGCGTATTCCTTAGACCATTTAATCCTTGCCAGTGAACTTAATGAAGTGAAAGTTTTTTTGACAACAATCGATCCCTCCCGCCGCCTTAGTGCTTTATTAAAAAATGTGGACTGCTTCAAACCAATTTACAATTTCATAAAAAATACATGTGGAAATCTTTGACATCGTTCAAATGCACTTTTGATTGAGATTGAACATTGAAGTGAAGTGAAAATAGTGAAGTTATCTATCAAAAATTAAGACTTGGCTTAAAGGTCTTGTTACCAAGCCATAAAAATACAAAAAAAAAAAAAAAGAAATTTCAGTTGCCATAAAAATACAAAAAAAAAAAAGAAATTTCAGTCACAACATTGAATTCGCATCTTGCAACAGGTAAATAAATTTGTAATTTTTTTCTCGTTTTTACTTGTAGTTTGATATTACTTGCTACTATACCCTAATATACATGTTATGATATTAATTTTGTACTTTGACCGACAAGCCAATAACACCTAAGCATATCCTAACAAAACAAAACAAGAATTTTACAATTAAACATATTTATTTCACAGAAATCAATGAGTAAGTAATATATAAGCAAAAATGTCACACCGTGGAGGAGGTGGACGTGGAAGGGATAATTTTAACTGGAGTAAACCATCAAATAAGGCGTTTAGACCGCGAGGCTTACGCGGAAGAGATATTGGTCTTTACTACAGAGATCAGCACATAAGGGGAAAAAAGCTCCCTAAAGGAGATATTATAGTAAGTGTTAAGTAGTATCTATTTAAGAAATTGGCTGGCCAGATGACCTGAGTAAAAATATCTTTTCTGTTGTAAGATGAAAAATAAACATACAATGTATACCTATTGTGTGTACATAGATTTAAAATATAACGGCAGTAAGGACAAATTTATGATAAAAAATATTTATTATTTTCTATTGTAGTTTACTATTAGTATTACTATTACTTTACTAATAGTAGTTTACAAATATATATATATTTTTAGATACACCTAACTATTCCACCAGCCATAATCACAATACTAGAAAATAACATAGAATCAATAAAGAAATTGGCAGAGATATCCAAAATATCAATTCCTAGGTTTTCAGGATTAAATTTGGCTAAAAGAGAGAATCCAACACTGGAAAATGACTTTTCATCTGATGTGGCTTCTTCTGTTATTACTAAAAAAAAGAATGCTGTACCTAAAGGAAAGCTTAAAAATATACATCTTATGAGTAGTCCAAGTACTTCAGCTAATTCCTATCTCGGAGAAGATGAATATGCCAAAGTAAAGATTGAGAATGAAAGTAACCAAATGTTTTCTGATCATGATGCAACTCCCATGGAAACAATTGAAAATGTCCAAACTGCACAGATGGATCTTGCAGTGAAGGAAGAGGATGCATCAGATCAAAGGCAGTTATCATTAAGAGGTGCTGGTGACTTCAAATATGGCTATGAAGATATTATCACTGGAACATTTGATGAAAAACTCGATGAATGTCTCGCTAAAGGGGTCTCAATCACAAAAAACAGCACAGATGCTAACAATCTAAGTATTGTATTGTATGAAGATTATAAAAATATGTTAAATATGAAGGACTATAAAAAGTTTAAACAGTTCCGTGAAACTCTTCCAACTTATAAAAAATCAACAGAATTATTAGAAGTCATTAATAGTAATCAAGTTATAGTCATTAGCGGTGAAACAGGGTGTGGCAAATCTACACAGGTAATTAATGCAATTGAGAGAATACAATTATAATTAATTATTTGCTAAATCTAATTGAGTCCTCTATTGTAATATGCATCATTTATTATGTCCAAGTTTATTTGGCAGTGTTTCACACATATTTTTTCTACTATCAACAGCATAACTCCCCATAAGTAAACATATATGTATTATACACAGCCTAATCACAGCTGAACTTTTTCTTGTTTCATTGCTGTCATACACTTCATAATCTATAAGTTAAAAGAAGGCTTGTTCCTATTTTAAATTTTAACAACAATTGGGCAAACATTTTTATTTTTTTTTTATAAATATTCATACTGTAGTTGCATTGTTATGTGTCTTATTAATTGTTAAACTCATTTTTATTAGGCATACAGATCAAATTTCCAGTAAAACCGTTTATCCTCTAAAACTTTTCTCTCCTTAGTCCAATTCAAATTTACCTCGTTGTCTTTAAGCACATAAAAAAAACTACTATAGATAAGTAAAATACTAACTTGTGTCTTTTTAGGTGCCACAATTAATTTTAGATGAGGCTATCAACAATAAAAAGGGTGCTTATGTGAAGATCTTAGTTACTCAACCGAGGCGCATAGCAGCTTCTTCCTTGGCTATGAGAGTAGCTCAAGAGCGATCGGAATCTATGGGTGCTTCTGTAGGATATGCAGTTAGATTAGAAAAGTGAGTTTAGTCTAGTAATACAAATAAAAACTGTTTTCATATGTCTAAAAGAGGAATATAATAAAGAAAAATTTGTCCCATAGTTTATGCTCTGTGGCTATCGCTATTGGTTTGTTAAGAGTATTTACTAACTAACTAAACTATGTTTACTAGTCTAATCTTAAGATTATGCAAATTGTTATTTGTTTGATAATTCATTAACTCAGTGAAAAACAATGAAAGAATTAACCTTTAACTTAACACTGTTTCTTTCTGTTAGGACGCGAAAGTAGATTTATTAGGTAATTGATAAAATTGTACCTCTAAACTTTGAGTGCAATATCATAAAATCTATATTATATTCTTGGAATAGAAGCAAATAAACTAATTATAATTTTTCAGAGTGGATGCAAGAGCTCGTGGTAGTATAATGTTTTTTACCACAGGAATACTACTAGCTACTTTAGAAGTGGACCAGGGCTTAACAAACTATACTCATGTCATACTTGATGAGGTACATGAGAGAGACTGTGATATTGATCTGGCCATGTTTATGTTAAAAAAGGTAATTAGTATAGTAATTTATGCTAAGTATTTTAACTTACAATAATAGGTAATAGAGTTTAAACATGTTACTTTATTGATCAATTTAGTTTACTTTTAATTAAACTTTTCAGCTAGAGTTGCTTGCCGGCAACAGCCAGTCCAAGTTACAGATATGCAGCCCTGAGCTCTTTGAGCTATTGCCTACACTTCTCAATCCATATATAATTCATATCTATATAATCTTCTCCACATTCTTTTATTTCATTTTAGGGCCCGATTGATGGCAGGCATATATTGCCCCATATTTAATCGAACTCACTTAGAGTGGGATTAAAATTATAGTCAGCAAAATGTGGGCATTTAATACGCCTCTACTTACCTCTTGTAGATATGAAGATGTGAGAATTTGCATAAATAAAGTTAGCAGTTTTAGACTGCATAGCAACACTCAGTTCAACTTTCTGGTATGTGACCTGGGCCTCAATTCTACTATTTTATGTTCACGCCAAGCCACTGTCATACCACTGACACGCATTGAGATGCCATCGAGTGGCCATTGGCATCGGTATAAATATCGGTAGTTGAAAATATATTACGTTTTTTTATTAAATGATTTATTTATTTTTATTATAATACATTATTAAAAGAAATAAATAAATTAAAATAAATTATTTAAAAAAAAAAAGAAATAAATAAATTATAATAAATTATTAAAAAAAAAACAATAAATAAATCATTTCCTTATAATTTGAAAATATATTACAATTTTTGAGGAAATGATTTATTTATTTTTATTATAATCAGTTATTAAAAGAAATAAATAAATTAAAATAAGTTATTAAAAAAATAAAATTATAAAAAAAGGAAATAAATAAATTAAAATAAATTATTTTATTTAGTCCCAGGTATTTATTTATTTAAAGGCTCGTTACATTTTTTTTGTGGATCCACTAGATACTTTATTTCAGGTATTAATTACAACTCATATTATGTCGGAACTCAGTACACATTCATTATAATTATATTAATAATATTATTCAGTTTAATCATATCATTATAATTTTAATTAATTCAATAAATTTACTGTACATTTTCAAGTAAGTCAACCTAAATACTTGAGTTAGTATGAAAGGATATTTGCAGGTAAAATATTCTTAGTATAAATTATACAATATTTTCTTTAGGAATTTAATTGTTTGTTTAAGCCTTGAACCTATGCTATTATAGCTTGTTAGATAGCTGAGAATACGTAAATGTTTTTTTTATCAATTCTGCAGTTTAACTGTTACAGTTTTTTTTATAACACAAAAACAGTAAAAAAACTCATAAAATCAATAATTTAAGTTTCAAAAAAATTGTATTTGGCAGAATTTCTATATAAAAATATTTTTTTATAATAAGTCTTAGAAGTCCCATCCCATCTTGAAAATGGTTAGGTTTGGGATATGGCATTTCATAGTGAAAGCTATCAGAAATAATGGCAACTACAACCCCTTAAAGTAACTACGTCGACTTAATCAATAACCCCGTATAAATCTTTTGTGCGTATGTGACTGATGAACTCCTCCTAAACGGCTGGACCGATTTTGATGAAATTTTTCGTGTGTGTTCATGTCGATTTGAGAATGGTTTAGATTCACAATTCAGTCCACTACATTTTTTTTTGTTATTTTTTTTATTTTTACGTGTGCACAGGACAACGTCTGTCGTGTCCGCTTGTATTTAATTAAATTGAAAGGGCATACAATATTACTATTTTAAGTGCCTGCTATAGCAATGTCCCATATAAGGGCTGTCACATATCTAGTCTGTCTGCTATCATCGCCAGGACGGAATTGGAGCTGTCCCGTACACTGCGCATCAAGGACGCGCACCGCTTGCGACCAGCGGTGTGGAAGCAGTCGGTGCAAGCTTCTGCAAACATGCCCGAGCCACTGCAGAAACGGGGCAGCCCCAACACTGCCCTGAAGGCATTGTTATATTGAACACAGAGTTCGTTATAGCCAAGTTGCGTGTAGTTAGTCCACAGACTGCACGTGTATAGGGATGTACAATATGCTTTAAGAAGTGTTACCTTTACTAGTACTAAACAGCATGCAAACTTGCAAGCAATCATATTAGCACTTTTTGACAACGCCCTCCGTTTCAGTTCAATGTCTTCAAGGTCCTTCAGATCAGCTGTAACCCAAAGTCCTAGATATTTAAAAATTTTAACCCTCCAGGTTAGACCCGTTAAGACGAACTGGAGGTACATCTTGTAAGAATTGAATATTTATAACTTTTATACTATACTACTTTAAACAACTACTACTACTTTTAACTAATAACTTTATTACAATGGTATAGACTAACTATAGGCAGCAAAGTAAATTAAATATTTTTTAAGGTCCTTCAAAAACGCAAAGACTTAAAACTAATCCTGATGAGCGCTACTATCGATGCGGATACCCTATCTTTTTACTTCAACAATTGTCCCATGATTCACATAGAGGGATTAGCATACCCAGTTAAAGATATTTATTTGGAAGATGTTCTAGAAATGACTAAATTTAAGTTGCCTTTTGTGGACAACAAAGTCCAGAAAAATGTAAAGCCTTGGCATAGAAATAAAAAGAAAAAGTTGGCTAACGAAATGGAGAAGGAGATACAATATCGTGCAGAAATCAGTAAGTTGGATTATACGTACTTATTTATATGCAATAACACCTTCATATGTACACACTTACATCGTCGAATTAATTTGACGATACTGAAAGTTAAAAAATTGAATTGAAGATATACAATTACTATTCCTATACATAGGTACTATGAAAATGACTTAAGCCTTTAGGTGTGTAGAAGTCTGTAAGAAAGTAATGTCTGGTGGTTGAGATGATTAACTGTCTATAGTCTATTCGTGTTAAAAAAATAATGACGCATATATCAAGCTCCGCCTCCTAACCAATCAAGTTCCAAGAAATTATCGTTTCGTACGAAAACTTGGAACCTGATTAATCAGAGTTGTCATAATATTGTAATATCTGCATTGTATTGTATTGCATCTGCGTTTTTACTTATTAATTATGACAAAAAATATTCCAGTTTGAAAAAAAAAAAATCAATTTTATTTAAAAAGATTAAGAAAGGCTTTTGCTAAAAAATACTGTTCTTTTTTAATAAATTATGTTACCTGCGTTTAATATGCATAAGAATTAATTATTGTTGTTACAACAGATTCATGTATTATTACAACAGATTATGCATTAATTGCATGGGTAAAGGGTGTATCATCCTTTACCCATGCAATAGTCTTAGTTTAACCCCGAATTTTATTCATTATTAATTTAATTTTTGTGTGTATGTTTTATGTAAAAGCAAATATTAAAGGTACAATATCATGTTTATGTGTAAATAATATAATTTTTTAACGTTTACAAAACAAGTTAGTATTGATGAGAAGATATTTTTAACCTAATGGTCAGATATTATTTTAATACATTATCGGTATAGTAACAATATCGACCCAATGTCCTCTACCCAATATCTCTAGGTGTCACTGATTGGTCGTTACAAGGTTTCTTTAGACACCTTTTAAAATTAAACTCATAGGATAAATAGTGCCACGTAGTTTCTCAATTGATGTGATTCTCCATTGATTTAGCATAAAAATTCATGCTTCCCTGTGGCCTAAAAGCAATCAAATTTTAGTACATCTCTGTTAACTATACTGACTAACATATAAACAGTACTTTTGCTGATTGCACGGGTGGCGTAGAGATTTAATAAGTGGTGGTGCTATACTATTTACAACACAAATTGTTGTGCTGAGTCTGGGTGCTCTTTGTGTCCGTTTCATTAATGTATGTGAAGTCCTTCAGGGCTCAGGATATTTTCCTAGTGCGAGAGTTGTCTTTTTATTAAAGGAGAAAGGAGTACTGCTTAGTTGCAATCCTCTGAAGATTATAACTTTTCATTTTTTAATTGTGTTTATTATACTACATTAGCTGACACAAAACACACATGTATATATTTTTCGGTAATGTCTTTTAGGTCCTTGGTTGCAGTCAATCAAGAGAAAAATAAATCACGAAGTCTACCAAACGTTACAAGATTATAGAATTGAAGCGTTGAATATTGATTTAATACATGACCTTTTAGTACACATTTGTAAAGGGCCACCAGGAGCTATTCTCGTTTTTCTACCAGGCATTGTTGATATCACTAAGCTCTTGAAGGCTATGTCGGAAAGAAAATGTTTCCCGAACTCAAATTACGAGATTTATCCTTTGCATTCAAAGCTACCTTCACTACAACAACATAAAATATTCGAAAGACCGCCGGCCAATGTGAGGAAGATAATTGTCGCAACGAATATTGCAGAAACGTCTATAACTATTGACGATATTGTGTATGTCATTGATAGTGGGAAAATGAAATATAGTGGTCTGAATGTTGAGGAGAATATTTCCACCTTAGAGACTTCGTGGATTTCTCAAGCGAATTTACGGCAAAGGTAAAATGAGATAAATTTGATAATATATTATGGTTAGCCTGTAATACTTTACCAATTGGATATTATTTTGGTTTAATGATCTATTATACAAATAATCATATATACCTACTCTAAGACCTGTAGTGCACGTCTTCAGGACTGGTGTATTACATAACAATAGTAATATTGAACTTTATTTCTGAACTTGTATTAAAATAAATTGATACGAGTAACAAGGATTTTGACAAACTGTGAACTCCCTCTTTTTTTACTTCTTGATAGGCGTGGTCGTGCCGGTCGATGTCAGCCAGGCATCTGCTATCACCTTTTGACGTCATACCGAGCTAGAACACTTGATGATCGCCTTCTTCCCGGCATTCAAAGAGACCCATTACTAGAGCCGGTGTTAGCTATAAAACGCCTGCGATTAGGGATTGCAGATGAAGCGTTAAAAATGATGCCAGCGCCCCCTGCGGACAGAACTGTACAATCAGCGATCAAACATTTACAACAGTAAGTGTCGTGTTCATAATAAGACCTAAGTTGATCCTAGTGATCGGGATTTCATTTGTACTTGATTATAAATTATTGAACGTTATATCAGGTAACTTTACACTGTTACCTATAACAATAACATACTACTAACCTCTTAAAATACTTTATGCCCCATAGCTTGATTTTTCGTAAATTGAACACTACGAAAAATAATTTCTCTAAAACAGTAAACCTCTTATAATTTTCGCTTTGATTTCGGTTCCATTACGTACACAAAGCAAAACTTGCACGCGATTGGTTGCATCAAGGTCACGACCACCCATTAGGGCTGTAAAAGACATCCGGATGTAAAAGACGCGTGGATGGTATTCCCCGGAATACCGCTAAAATAAATAAGCTTGTTTACGTGTATATTTTATTTTATTGAATTAAATTACTCAAATAATTGAACTCCAAGGAAAATAAATAAATTGTGTAAGTATAGTTACATGCAAGTTTTTATTAGTCATGAACCTTCTGTAGTCGATGATACCTTATAACTAATTTATAATTATTTCCAGTGTTTGTCGAATGTACATCACTAAGAATTTTATTAACTATTAAACATAATAATTGCAAATATTTACTGAGTACTATATATGCATCAAAGTTTGTGACGTAAGGCATACTAAACCTGTTAAAAATATATAGGTACAACTAGCTGTACTCTACTACGCTTAGCTGTGGCATATTTTGGCACCTCATTAATCATTAGCACTCTTAATTTTAAATAAAATTATCTTACATGTTGCTTAACACTTTCCAGAGTCGTTAAGTATGGGATTACAAAATGTTTATTTACTCATGAAAGGTGTGTGTTTTTCATATCTGAACGGCTTCTACGAGTACACCACTTCACGACACATGACGGCATATTTGCGAAATTAAATAGCGCAAAAACACAATAATAAGCACACTCAAGACTTGCCGTAATACAACCGCTCAACACAAGTATACTGGTGCATATTTTACGAACCGCCGACTGCGGCTTATATTTCGTGGAACCATTTTTTCGGCTTAGTTACGTTTCTAGAGAAATTATTATTCGTAGATTTTACATTACTCATAAACATAGCTCTTTTTCTGACACAAATTATAAGTCAGTACATTTGCCTGCATAGTCTAGGGATGGATGCCGTCAGTTTCCTAAGAGTCTTGCGCAGAGACGACTACGATGCGGAAGGCCCCTACGTATTTGTTTACTATCGGTGACCCTAATCACTAGCAGAAAAGGCTATTCTTTCTACTAGTGATTAGAGTTACCAGTATAATACTAGTTCTACCTCTTTACTTATCATTATTTTGATTAGGACCTAAATTATTAACTTAAAAAACTAATTAAAAGACCTAAAAAAATAATTAAAAGAAGAGTATTCTAAAATACAAAACAGTCTTTGAAGACTACTAATCAAACAACTGTGTTTTTGATTCATGAAAACACTTAAACACTAAGTAAAACTTAAATATTATCTCTTAAAAATGTCTTATTAAACTGTTTATTTCGTTTTATTTCTGTTTATGTCGGATTCTCTATGAAAATAATTTTATTGCCAGGTGCGGTGCGCTAGACTATGCAGAAAAGTTAACTCCTCTCGGGTGGCATTTAGCACGATTACCAGTGCATCCGGCAGCCGGTAAATTGTTGCTACTGGGGGCATTGTTTGGCTGTCTCAACCGAGCCGCCAGCGTAGCCGCCGTATGGGGTTTTAAAGATCCATTCCAGCTTGTCATTGGTAAGATTATAATAATCACACACATTGACTTATTCAGTGGCATGCTTAACTGGAATGAAAAAGCTCCGTATTGTATTTCTAGACCGATATGCTTAAAAAAAAATATGTCTTGCTTTTTTAAATAAATCTTTATCGAATATATATATATGGACCCAACTTTTTAGGAAAAGAAGAAGAAGTTGATGAAGCCAAAAAAATGTTCTCACTGGGAGCAGGGAGTGACCACATTGCAATATCAGAAGCAATTATGCAATGGGAAAGTCTACCCTCGTCGTACCAGAAACGTGATTTTGCATACGATAACTTTATGGCCAATAATACTCTAGAACTATTATTTGACATGAAGACTCAGTTTGGTGACAATTTGAAACAAATGGGTTTTTTAGCATCTGGAGATATATTATCTTCGTGGGAAAACCGGAACACGGATAATTTAAGCCTATTTAAAGCTATAGTTGCAGCATCACTTTACCCTAATATAGCTACAGCTAAGTAAGATATACCTCTAATTATTATAACCTTTCTTCGTTTTATACTCAACACATTTAAATCTCAACGCGAAGTGCTTGCATCAGTTTGTGGCACAAAGTTTGTTCTTAAAAGTACTTCTACATATACGTTCAATTGTACTTATACACGACAATACAATAAAATAAAGGAGTGCGTGAAATGAGATGTCGGATGATAGAGGAGAATTGAAGAAGAAAACTCATTGCACTGGCCCTAAATTAATTTGAATAAAATGGTAAGAAGATGGTGATGATTGAGTGGACATGTAGGTACTGGGGTGTATGAGGATTTTTTGATTTCGGATTTCGGAATATAAAGTGACATGCGGAGGAACACCGATATGTCCACGAGAGAAGATTACTGCATCAGGCGATGATTACCATTACCTCATTTATCACTTAAAAATGTAATCCAATTCCTTGAGTAGATACTATTATAACCCATTATACACAAGTCGAGTCCTTAGTTTACGTTTAGCCTTGTGTTAATTAAGAAACTACAAAAGTTTTATTACTGTTAGATGCAATTTTTGTAAAGAAACTGTTCCTTATTTTATTTAATCACAATAAGTTTTACGTACATTTTAGATGGGTAAATTTAAATGCCCGCAACCCTAACAAAGTGGTTAGAGTAAAGGCAAAGACACCCGAAGATGGTTTTATATACATTCATCCAAGCAGTGTAATGGCTGTTAAAAAACCAAGGCGGGGTCATTTACCGATTTCACCGTGCATGAATCCTGGAGCCAGCTGGTTAGTGTACTGGCGCAAACAACGCTCGACTGAACTATATTTACACGAAGTAACACTGGTACACACTTTGCCATTGCTTTTCTTTGGAGAACTGACTGTGACAGAAGGTAATTTGTTTTTAAATCTAAGAACATCATAATTTTAAAAGTGACCTATATAGACTTCAAAATTAAAACTTAAGGACCATAAAGTTTTGTGAATTGTGACACATTTTTGCAAACATTTTTATAGACTATAAAAATATTCTCAATTTCCATTGACATAAAAATGTAAGTATTATAGTGGATAATAATAATATTTTTTTTAAAAGATGGTGACTTGAAGTTAGGTGTTAGCTAAAAAGTGCAATAGATTGGTTGCCAGTTAAGGTACCTATGGATTTGTTATATTAGAAATTAACAAATTAATCATAGGTAATATTACAAGAACTTAAGGTTGATGTTATATTTATATAGGTTAGATCAATTAAAGTGTTTTAGTAATTATATTTACTACTAATGACGATGAATTACTTGAAAATGTAATATTATAATGGTTTCAGTATTAAGAGCAATTAACTGATTTTTTATAGAAAATAAAAATTTAAGATTCTGCTTGTAGTCACTTTATAAGGCAACCCGCTTTTTATTGCAAAATTGATCTAAAATCATGTTTTCTTTGGATAGATTAATTTTTTTAATGTTTAATTGATAATTGAGACATACAATAAATGTATACTTATTGATATAAAATATTGTTTTAGCTGAAAACCCGGATGAATGTTATATCTCGATAACATCAGTTAAAGTATGCTGCAAGATTCGCACCACGGAGCTACTATTTCAGATGCGGGGATTATTAGATCAAGTCTTAGCATCAAAAATCGGCGTATCTAGTACACATGCGACATTACAAAACCCATTTGAAGAACAAGTTTTGGAGTGAGTTTCAGTTTAGATAGCATGTTCGTTAGTTTATCAAATTATGTAATCTGTAAATAGCTGGAAGGTCATTAGTGATGTCATGTAACCTTGTTCTGGCCTCGTTGTTGAGGCCATCCGCCTCAAGTTCATGGTCAATTTTCACAGAAGGCTAGGCTGGCTAGAAGGGCTGGCTACCAATGTCGCATAACAGTTAGTTGTTTTTATCATAGAAATGTTAAGATGTGTATAGAATTAGTTAGTCTAATTTTTTAATTAATGAGTACTTAAATTGATAATATATTCTAAATTTTATGTTACCCTCTTAGACTTAAAAATCTTTTCAAATATTTCTTTTTGCTGCGTTTTCACGCTCATTTAATAAAGCAAAATATTTTGTGCATACTAAATTTGACATTGTAAAATACTGTTTAATTTGTTACAGTGCCGTGATACAGTTGATAACAGCCGAGGAGGAGCGTGCTGATTACCTCAATGACGACGACGATCCTTCAGAATCAGATAATTCTGAGATCGAATCATATACGTCTGGGCGGCGATAAATTTAATTAGAAATTTTGTTTTTTATTTATTTGCATTTTATTTTTACCTGCTACATGAATATTTTTGTATCTGGCAACCCCTATTTGACATTTCAATTTGTTGGCATGTTTAATTGCTATGTTGTTATTTACTGAAACAATTTTGGTTATACTTATAAGATTCTAAGATTAAATCGTCGTATATTTGACATTTCTTAAAATTTAAAATATAATAATAAATTATAAATTACAAAAATGTTAGTCTTGCTTCAGGTAAGATATACATTTTATCAACTTCATTAATCGAATTATAATGTTTATTTAAACATTTATCTTAATTGCATAACTTGTTGTTATTGATCAACAACAATGTCTGCATTAATTTGATAATGTAAAATTTTTTTTTTTCAGAAAGCATGGATAAGACCTTTTTATGTGCTAAGCCGGTCTATTCATAGCCAGTATTTAGTTACGAATGAAAGTAACGGCACCCGTGAAATAACTTTAAGTCACGAGAAAACAAAGTTTGTGCCCTTCTTAATTATTTTATATACTTTCTCATTTTTATTACTGAATTGACTTAGGCAAATTTTTGTGTAGGAACTCACTATCACTGGATATGATGTGCCACCTTATAGAGGCTATAAATTTAAACAAGAATGATAAGTCATTGAGGGCCATAGTTTTATCTGCTAAAGGCAATGTATTTTCTGCAGGCCATAATTTAAAGGAACTAGTAAGTTTTTGAGACAACTCATGTAAATATTGCTCATCATAAAAGTATGCTTCTATATATATATGTAGAAGCATGCTTGGAATATTGCACTTATATGGACATACTAACCCTATCCCCGTCAATAACCTAGACCAATAAGAGTAAAAAATGGAAACAATGTTTAATTTTTTTTACTCTTATTGGACAAATTGGGACAGTTCTATGTTATTCAGTTCATTCATTCTCTTATATGTAAGATATGACTCTAGGTAAGGTCTAAACAGCTGATTTATTTAGATTAGTTGTAAAAATATTTTTAACGAGCTTGTTTTATAGTTAGACTGTTGACTAGCTTTTACTGAAAACTGTTTTTAATTTATATTTGTTTTGTAGTTACACGTTTGGTTAACAAATTTGAATGAAAAAAACTGGTAAGAGATTATACACGCGCGCGTGATTAGAACCATGTAAAAAATAAATTACGAAATGGAGTAATTTCCTCTTATCGAATATCTTTTACATTTAATTTCCTCATTTTTTAGCAATCTAATACCGGTACAGATCATCACAAACTGATATTCAATAAAGCAAGTGAATTAATGCAGTCTATCATCCAAAGTCCTGTTCCCGTTATCGCCAAGGTAATCTTATTGTTAGCTGTTAAATTTTATTTGTCAAACATGATTAGGTGTAAATGTTATGTTCGACATTTGGTAGTGTTAACCTGTTTTCTAATCAATTTTAGGTACTAGCATACAAAATGTAGAATAGATTAGGAACTTGACGTAATGATATTCAACTTATTTACCTCAGTGAAGAAATATTTGCTAAATATTTTGGCAGGTAAATGGCTTCGCAACAGCAGCAGGGTGCCAGTTAGTTGCCACTTGCGATATGATCATATGCTCTGACACCAGTAAATTTTCAACACCTGGGTAAAAATAATTCAATCTAATATGTATAATACTTACCATGTTAAACGGCTAACAGTTTTATGTAGTTTTAAGGATCGCTAAACTTGCAGGGCTAACTTTGGAATATTTTGTTCGACGCCGGGAATAGCTGTGGCAAGATGTGTACCTAAGTCTAGAGCAACATACATGCTTTTCACAGGTTTGTACAGGTGACTTTCAGCACCATATTTACTTTAGTTTAAGTATTTTAGGCAAAGCTGTTACTGACAGCGAACATGCCATAACCACTAACTAGCAAATGTAGCAGAGCTATCATTACATACCTAAGACATTTTTCACTTACCTCCTCTCTAGTTAGGGGAACATATAAGTTAACGGGTCTCGGCTTGCGAATTTAGTTGGATTAATGAACTGCTAGAATTGAGTAGGTACCTAAGATAGAAACACGCTTTTACGATACGATAAAGCACAGCTTTTTCGATAGAAATCACTGTTACCAGTCCTACCTAACTGCCTTTGTTCACATATTACCTACTAACTTTTGTTTTTCTGGCAGATCACTAATCAATTAAATACTACTAACCAAATATGGCTGCTTGTTTTATTTCAATTATCAAGTCTTTATACAATTTAATTATTTTATACGTATAAATTGAGTATGGGGTTTTAGGTGAACCCTTATCAGCACAAGAAGCCTACGATAGTGGGCTCGTAACTAAAGTGGTACCAGCAACAGAGCTGGATCATGAAGTAAATAAGATTATTGAAAAAATTAAAATGAAAAGTCGCAGCGTTGTTACACTTGGAAAAGAATTCTTTTACAAACAAATAGAGTTGAATATATTAGACGCTTACAAGTTGGGAGAAGAAATCATGGTTAAGAATATAAACACAAAGGATGGGCAAGAAGGTATAAAGAGTTTTGTCGAGAAACGAAAAGCGATTTGGAGCCATATGTAACTGTTATCGCCGAACGACGAAAATTACTTAAACATTGCATGTTTTATCTTTATTATTTTAACTACTATTGATAAGGTATTGTAATTGTTATTCATTCGCTGTTTTTTCATTTGTAATATGACTTTGTAAAATAAGACAGAGGGTTATAGTTTGGTAATTAAAGGACCAAAATAACAGTGATGTTGTTAAAAGAAAAACTCCTTTTATTTACACCTTATTTTATTTGCCACTATTGCAATATACTTTAACAAAACTGCAAAGCATAAATGATATTATGTTAAAGCATACGACATGACATGACACAGGACATTAAAATATTTTTGGCCGATACATCTTACATTATTTACATACTGTAACATTTTTACCTTTAATCAAAAAAAGATTACATAAATATTATTGTTATTTACTTCTTGTAGTATTATTATCCGGTGCACACAAATTACAAATATAAAACTTGTAATAATAATAAACTTAATCACTAAATGATTTTTTAAAGTAATAAATCTAGCTAAAGAAAAAAATAATTTACGATATACTGTGCTGGATCTAACAACAAAAATGACGCTATTTTATTGTCGGCTGCATTGTATGTAATATGTACATACAATAAATATCATACTTGAAAAATATGTATGGATATATATTATTAAAAAGTTTGGAACCTCTCTGCTAATAATTATTTAAAATAATGATTATTGTTTAACTTATCAGTGGGTTTCTAAACTTATGTAAGTTACCTTCCTCAAGAAGATAGGGTAGATTTTGCCGACTAAAGATTGGACGGGGACCTATAATGATAGCATGCGGTTAGTTTTGTGCTTGTTTAAAATCTTTATTAAAAACAAAAAGATTTGACTACAGTTACATTAAATCAGCTTGTAAAATTACAAATGCTAAATTTTCATACTTTATTAAAGTATTAAAATTTGCAATTTCAGCAAGCAATTTGAATATTTAGCAAGATTCCACCGAATTGTAAGTGAGGAATATTTTTTACACATTTTCAAAAGTCTGCACACATTGCTGAATAATACAGTTATGAATATGATACATCACTCATGACCAAAATATAGTTTCAAGGGATAAATAGAATATGAAATTACCATTGGGGCGTTTTTCACAATATCATTTACATGGCTAGCTAATTTCTAAATATCTTATGCTTCAGCAAAACATTGTGAAAAGAGCCTTCAGCCTGAATAGTACAAAGACATTATCATATATTATTACATAAAATTTCTCATAGTCTTTTAAGTTCTATAGATTGAACAACATTCACAATTTGAAGGTTGTCAGTCATTATGGGAATGTTTGTAGTAGTACTTGTTCCCAGTGACTGTTGGCTATTGTTTATCTCACTTCTTTGCCAGTTCGTTAGAAAGCCAGTCTAAGCCTTCATAGAGTCCCTGCCCTTGTGTTGCACATGTAGCCTGGATGTACCACTGTGAAAAATATATAATTAATTATTACTATAAATTATGATTGTAGTTTACCTACTAATATTTAGAATATTATGCAGTTGGTTAACACGTCTTAGTAGCAAAATTTATTTACAATATTTCAATTTACAAAACCATTATACCATATGTCTATATACCGAATGTCTAACTAGTCAATCAAGACCTCACACATGTTTATTTACAGGCCGGTGGGTCTAGTGGTTAGTGAATCTGACTGCTACGCCGGAGGTTGTGGGTTCGAATCCCACCCAGGACAAATATTGTGTGATGAGCACGGTCATTTGTTCTGTGTGTAAGTGTAATTTGTCTATAATATGTATGTATTTAAAATATATAAGTAAGTTTACCAACAGTCTGGTTACCATAGTACAGGCTCTGCCTTGTTTGGGAGATGTGGGAGGTATATTATATTATTTACGTAATAATACACATAGTACAGGCTCTGCCTTGTTTGGGAGATGTGGGAGGTATATTATATTATTTACGTAATAATACATTTAAGAGTTTCCTCTGTGTCATTTAATTGAATTGAGTGAAACTTTTTTCATTAAATTGGCTTGCAATGAAAATATCAGTTAGTTTACTTTTCTTTCTAGCATATAGTTACAACAAGTTGAAATCATGTGTCTTTTCTAACAAGACATAGTCATAAACTATCATTAATTTTGTCATTGTCACCTGTGTTGTCTGGCTCCGAATAGAAATGGTTATGCCCTTAGGCAGCTATGAGGTTGACTGCAACTGGCAGCCTCAATATAGCTTTGGCTTTATTCTGCAGCTTATCTCATAACATTTTAAGCAATACAGAAAACCTATTATAGGATTTCTTGTCACAAGACAATACTTAAGTAAGTAATGGGATAAGGATAAGGAGTGGTGGCAACCATTCCTTACTTATTATTCTTCACTTGATCATTTAATTATTTTGAATAAAAACTGACAGGAGTTGTATCTAGTCCTTAGTGGGAGTCCTGGCACTATCGTGGCAGGACATTTTACTCCATGAACTGAGAGCTCCAAAACTATTCATGCCCCTCGAAATACACACTGAAAAACAAACTGTCTTTGGTAAATTGAATACTTACACGGCGATTTCTAAGGTTGTTGAGATTAAGAGCATTTGTAAGTTCAGCTGCAGTCATTGCATTTGGCATATCTTGCTTGTTCGCGAACACTAAGATGACAGCATCTCTCAGTTCATCTTCTTTTAACTACAAAATTTATAAAAATTAAATATGAATGAATGAAAATAGAAACTTAGTTCAAAAAACTTTATTATTTTCATTACAATGATGATGATTAAAATTTATCATTTCACTCATCCATAGGAAGCCCTTACTTTCAAGAATACTGAATGGAAGTGAACCTGCAATTTTTATAATCTCATTCATCCAAATTCTTAAAAGAAATTCTACATGATTGTTATCAATTTTATTTATAAATTTGAGGCTACCCCACCAATAAGAAGAGTTTTAACTTCCATCCAACTAACCTATAAGAGTGTAACCAAATTTACTTATGGAAAACTAAATTGAAAGTGGTTAATGAACTATGAGGCTACTGATTTAAGGAACATTTTGGAGATAGTCCTAAGTCAATTTGTTGCCATTATTTGTTCTTGTTTTATACAGATAAGGGTGTAGCTCCCTTACACAATATTTAAATTAAGTGATACAGCATCAGTAACACAATACATATTATTATAAAATAATATTTGCAGCTGCGAGTTAGTTCATCATCATCATCATCAACAGCCTTTAGTAGTCCACTGCTGGACATAGGCCTCTCCTTAGAAAGGAGGTTTTAGCCTACTATACCATGCTGGCCAGATGGGTTGGTATAGGGTTAAGTGTCAAGTTGTCCTTCTCTTTGCAGTGCTGTTGTCCTGCATAGTTTGAACCCTAGTCGGCTCCTACAACACCCACGGGATGAATAGGGGTGTTGACACACCATATTCTTAATCCGTCACCACACGGACAGTGCGAGTTAGTTAGCTAACAATTATTTTACACAGATAGTCAATACTTTAAATACTTAATGCTTCATTTATAATATAAAAACTATTACTCTTCATATTAATTTCTCAAGAGGGATATAATTAAAGATTATACAGATTTACTTACCATATTAGCCAGTTCATTTTCAGCTTCTGCTATCCTCTTAGTGTCACTTGAATCTACTACAAAAATCAGTCCCTGTGTATTCTGGTAATAGTGGCGCCACAGCGGCCTGATTTTGTCCTGACCGCCGACGTCCCATACAGTGAAACTAATATTTTTGTACTCTACTGTTTCCACATTAAAACCGATTGTAGGTATGGTTGTAACAATCTCGCCTAACTTCAGCTTGTAAAGTATGGTAGTTTTTCCGGCGGCGTCTAGCCCAACTAAAACAATAAATGAATAGAAGTTATTGACAAATAGACTGCACATAAAAACAGTGGCAATAGTGTAAATTCTACGTGATCTTTAACCGATGAGCTGTCATGTCACATACCCATAAGAATACGCATTTGTTTCTTGCCGAAAAGCTTGGTAAAAACACTAGATATTGTGAGACCCATTCTGATTATTTACTCAAGAACACAGCAAAAACTAATAAAAACAAAACTTCTACTATGAAATGAAGAACCACGTATGTATATTCTTGAGAAATATAGTAAGCACCGATGACCATACGCACGTCAACGTTTCCAATTTTTTTATAGTGACGTTTTTCTACGTTTAGTTTTATCAATCTGAACATTGATTTTGAAACGTATTGTGGTACCCAACAAGTTATGGTGTGTTGAATCACGACTGACAAGACTGTTGCATTGTATGGTTCGCGTAATTATTTATTATCGTAAAAATTAAATTAAAAATAAAGTGCATAGATTTAATTATAATCAAACATTAATAATTATTTTATTATGATTTGATTTTAAAATCCTATTTTTAAGATAACTTTAATCTTAAAGTATTTACAAAGATTTTAGTTTGATTCATAAAAACATAAAAGCCAACGTCGTCGCCCAAGTAGAAAAATCAATCTTTGGGTTAAGACAAGATATTTCTTGGGACTCAGAACTCTATGGTGTTTTGACTATGTTGACATTGAATTCTGACATACCTAAACCCAATAGGAATCCAAATAGAGTTTTGCTGTCATGGGTCGTCATAGAAACGTATTATTTTAGAAACTTTTCATGGACATGGAGATTTTCGAAGGTGAGTTTTTCATAATACTATTTAATATTTGTTAAATTTTTCCTCTGTCATGGAAAAGATAATATAAACGCCAATATTTTAAAATATGCAAAAACATAAACAGGTTCGCAGCGAAGGTTCTATAAGTGGATACTATTTTTGATGAACACTGAATATCCTAGTAGTAGTAGGTATTTAAAACATGTTTAAACAATATTTTTTGTCTTAATATATTGGTAATTTTGAAAAAGCTACACTTTGAAGGCTATAGCTTTCAAAGTGTAGTTTTTAGCTGTAAACTGAAATAGAAATTTTTATTTTTTAAATTTTACTACTTCTACGTCTACTACCTAGCCATATACTTTTAATTATTCGACTAGACTGAATTTAAAACTGACTAAAAATAGTGATATAATAGTGTACAAGACCCTAAATCAAAAACACTTTGTTGTAGAACAAACAGTTTAAATGAATTAATAACTGCTTGAAACAGTGGAATGTGCTCTATATTGTTGTCTCTTATTGACTCTGATTGACCGGCGAGGTTGTACACTAATTTATAAGGTTAGGTTAAATATATATATATATATATATATATATATATATATATATATATATATATATATATATAAACTTGAGCATCAGACATGTTGACCTTGCACTTAGGTACTTGATTAAGAGAAGCTTCGACTCGGTGTCCATAGGTATTCGCCGTTCACGTGTTTCAAAGTGATTAAAACGAAGATCAATGGCAGTATGACGTTTCAATAAAACCTGCCTCAGGATTCTCAACATTTTTACCTATTTGATCTATCCAACACTACACAGTTAAACCTTAACACCTACATCTCTAGGAGACGCCTTATTTTGAGGCCAGGTTTTAAGCTGTAGTTGTAGTGTGTAATTCGTTTAATGTTCAACGTATGAAAATACGTGTTCAGAAAACCAACAATCAAATTAAATCACAAACGCTAAGTTACTTTTTACAGATAACTTTTTAGAACGGCAGTCTAATGATAAAACCCAAGAGATGATGATTCATTCATGTTGCTGTATCGCGAAGGAGTAATAACACTTAGACTGTACGTTGCAAAATAAACTTACATTATTCACTTCCAATAAATGGCAGGCCAAACAAATATATGGCTAGTGTTTTATCGCACTAGGTTTCTATGGATAGTAAATATGCAACAGCGCGCAATAGGCCATATTACGTCATGTCTCTAAGACCGATCGGGCTTACGCATATTTTAGGTAGGTACATACGTACATACATCTGTAACTAAACCTTTGCGTGGTAAAAAATCTATTGCTTTTGTGTGCTGAAACACAAAAAATGTAAATAAAAAAAATGTTTTAATTGAGAGCACTCGTTTTCAAGTAACACAGATATATGTATATACCGTTGCATTAAGTTTCATATGCTTGCGGTCAATCATTGTTCTATTTTGTAAAGTGTCTAATTCCATTTGACTAGTCTGACAGCCTGTCAGTAAAAGAGACTCAGATTTAACAACTGATTTAAAAAAAAATGTATTTGCCGATATATTTTATCTTGATACAGTATCTTATGTGTTTGTTAACTATCTTCGTGTTGTATTGAAGTTCATGTCATTTAGTAGCCAGCAACTGCCAATATATATCGACTTACAGATATAGATTCCTTCATATATGACTAAATATTTATGACATTACCTAAACAATCTGCCTTATTAAAATGTGCACCAACAAAATACCTAGCTTTAAGCTATCATTGCCGCTAGTCTGTTTCTTAGTAAAGTTAAAAATGTTGTGCACTTGTACTACTCATTTCTACTCTACTTTAGCTTATTGGACGAAAAAAAGCATGTCTATCTTTATTTAGTAACATTTTATTGAACCTACTTCTTAATGACTCTCGTAATTGTAGACTGCGATTCTTGATCGCGTGTACTGCTTGTGTTAAAAATAGTAGCCTACGGCTTATGTACACTTGCGCAATGTATAGTATCATCAAACCATAACGAATATTTACAAGTATTATTTAACATTAAAGAAACTGAATAAAAGCAAACGTTTTTCAAACGTAAATGTGAAATAGAAGAATAAAAATAATCGGACTGAAGATTCTAAGTTAGTTTAATTTCTAAATATTTGTTTTCCTGTTGATTTCATGATTAATTTTGTTACTGACATCAGCAAATTACTAACTATAAAACGTGGGTACTGATAACTATAAAGTGGGTAGTGATAGCATCCATAGGACAATCTGACTTCTGTGCTTCCCGATGAAATATAATGATTGTTAATAAATTGATTTAACACCAAGTCATAAATTTACATAGAAATACGCTTCCGCCCGTATTAACCACTGATACTAATAAGATAATCTAGAATATATACCAAACTCGTATTTCGAATCATATTTTAATTGTATCCAGAACGGTTATATTTCTCGATTACTGAATTGTAAATTTATTTCGTTCGCGTTGAGATGTAGCTAAGGTCGACTCAGACGGGAAGAACTGTCCTTGTCCTCAGACAGGGATTTCCAGGTCTCTACTTACCAGTCCTAGTAAACCTAACTATGTCAGACCTTTCCCCCTTGTATTAACTTAACTCCTTCTCCACTTTGTTAATCCAGTTCTATTGTTCTTGTTACTGATGATGATCTTCTCAGAAAAGACAGAATTTGGGTAGGATTCATACCACATAGCTAGTTACTTACTATGTTTGTTCACTCAGATGTTCGTTTAACGCAGATTTATTACTGTAATAGATCTACTGAGCCTTTGTTTCTTCTGCAATCAAAAAGGAAAATGAAATTATGAGAGCGCCGATGCTTTGATGACTTCGCAGCTTTGTGATAGAGCGATCTTGTTACATATGTCATTTAAGTAGATACTTTTATCCATTCCTTAGAATGTCTTTATACCGAAATAGGAGACTTTGATTACCAAGCTTTTACTCTACTCTCATAGGCAGTTTCGATTGCTGTACTTACAATATTTTTTTTAAAAATGCTTGATCAAGTGAATATATTTTCATGTTGTCCAGATTATTGAACTACTTTTAGATATGTAATTTAACACCATCACATGTTAAAGAGCCAAGACTTATCATTTTTAAGTGTCACGTAAACATGATTAAATATAATATAAGAGGGGACCATCAACTATACAATTAGTAAAGACTACATGCTTTTGCCATTATATCCGTTCGTCCGTACTTACTTCACCAGGCTCTGCTGTTAAAACGGCTATGAACTATGGCAGAAAAAGAAATTGCGAATCAAATGAATTTGTATTTGCATATCTTATAAAGAATTCAAACGATACTATTATCATCGCAAAACTATTTCTTGAATTTTTAAGCCAGTTATATTACTTAAAATGTGAATCCAAATTATATCATTTCGTAATGTTCGGTTGTTCAATATGCCTAACTACTATAGGCAACTATTATTTACTTATATACTAAAAATGTTTCGTCAGTCTTGAATTTAACGCTACATTATTGTATACTTTTCATGAATAGAAACAGGCACTTCGTACCAAACCTCAATTTGCATTAATTTCAAATATGAAAGTTCTGACAAACAATATTTATCACTGCAACTGGAAATTCTAAGGGATAAATTTACGTAAAGCTGACAGTGACTTCATTTTTTTTATGTTAACATACTTTAAATAGCGGTATACATGCTCACAGCTTTTACCTCGGTTATACTGAAGTTTTGTAGAAATATAATAAATATAACATAGTTTTTTATAAAGTAATCCAATGAAGCAAAAAGTAAGAGTACCGTTTTTCGTACATTTACTACTACCACCAGTAGGTACTACCAGGTGTACTACCAGTCTCAGTACCAATCTCGTGACTATCTATAACGTCGCCATCAAAGTTATATCTCACGTTTCTATTTGTTACTTGAAACTAATGAAATTATTTTGGATGATTGTTTCGATTTATGTACACAAACGAAAACTTTTTCTGATTCTTATCTGATGCCAATTTAACAGTCCATTACTTGCTGTTTCATCCTACTAAATAACTGCCTCAGATATCATTATATTTTAAATAAAGTTATCGCCGATCAAATATGCATTTATTTTACTCAATAAATATTGTGTTCTTATAGAGGTCTAACTAGCTTTCATGGCACATTTTTATCATGCTATCTGATTTGTTTTGTTTCACTGTCTTTTTTTGCTTTAAATGAAAGAAACGCTGCTTAGAACTTAATCTGTTATAATTTTGGCAACTTGTATCAAATACTATTCTGTTATCTAAATATAGCTTTTTATGACGACATTAATTATATCTGACATTTGATTAATTGTGTTGTTACAAATTCGAATCCTAAGTGAAAGTGTTACAAAAGCTATATATGTAC